CCCTGAGGCCCTGCAGGTCTGATTTTTCCCTTCAGAGATATTTTCCAGCATGGAGTTGCTCCTGGGGCCCTGCAGGTCTGGTTTTTGCTCTCAAGGATCTTCTCCAGACAGGATTTGCCTCTAGGGTTCTGCACATCTGGTTTTTGCCCTCGGGGATTTTTCCCAGCCAGGATTTGCCCCCTCCAGCCAGGATTTGCCCCTGCAGGGCTGGTTTATACCTTCAAGGAACTTTTCCATCCAGGATTTGCCTCTGGGGCCCTGCACGTCTGATTTTTGCCTTCAGGGATATTTTCCAGCCAGGATTTGCTCCTGGGGTCCTGCAGGGCTGCTTTGTGCCCTCACAAGTCTTTCCAGCCAAGATTTGCCCCTGAGGCCCTTCAGGTCTGATTTTTGCCCTCGGGGATCTTTTCCATACAGGATTTGCCTCTGAAGACCTGCAGGGCTGCTTTTTGCCTTCAGGGATATTTTCCAGCATGGAGTTGCTCCTGAGGCCCTGCTTTGTACCCTCAGGGATCTTTTCTAGCCAGGATTTGCCCTTTCCAGCTACAATTTGCCCCTGAGGCCCTGCAGATCTGCTTTGTGCCCTCACAAGTTTTTCCAGCCCAGATTTGCCCCTGGGGCCCTGCAGATCTGGGTTTTTTGCCTTCAAAGATATTTTCCAGCCAGGATTTCCCCCTGAGGCCCTGCAGGGCTGCTTTGTGCCCTCAGGGATCTTTCCCAGCCTGAATTTGCCCCTTCCATCCAGGATTTGCCCCTGAGGCCCTGCAGGTCTGATTTTTCCCTTCAGGGATATTTTCCAGCATGGAGTTGCTCCTGGGGCCCTGCAGGTCTGGTTTTTGCCCTCAATGATTTTCTCCAGACAGGATTTGCCTCTAGGGTTCTGCAGGTCTGGTTTTTGCCCTTGGGGATTTTTCCCAGCCAGGATTTGCTCCTGCAGGGCTGGTTTGTACCCTCAGGGAACTTTTCCATCCAGGATTTGCCTCTGGGGCCCTGCAGGGCTGCTTTTTGCCTTCAGGGATATTTTCCAGCCAGGAGTTGCTCCTGAGGCCCTGCTTTGTACCCTCAGGGATCTTTTCTAGCCAGGATTTGCCCTTTCCAGCTACAATTTGCCCCTGAGGCCCTGCAGATCTGGTTTTTGCCTTCAGAGATATTTTCCAGACTGGATTTGCCCCTGAAATCCTGCAGGGCTGGTTTGTGCCCTCAGGGATATTTTGCAGCCAGGACTTGCCCCCGAGGTTCTTCAGGGCTACTCTTTGCCCTCATGGGTATTTTCCAGACAGCACTTGCCCATGGAGACCTGCAGGGCTGCTTTGTGCCCTTAGGGATCTTTCCCAGCCTGAATTTGCCCTTTCCAGACAGGATTTGCCCCTGAGGCCCTGCAGGTCTGATTTTTCCCTTCAGGGATATTTTCCAGCATGGAGTTGCTCCTGAGGCCCTGCAGATCTGGTTTTTGCCCTCAAGGATCTTCTCCAGACAGGATTTGCCTCTGTGGCTCTTCAGGTCTGGTTTGTGCCCTCAGGGATATTTCCCAGACAGGATTTGCTTCTGTGGCTCTGCAGGGCTGATTTTTGCTCTCAGGGATCTTTCACAGCCTGGATTTTCCCCTGGAGTTGTGCAGGGCTGATTTTTGCCCTCAGGAATATTTCCCAGCCAAGATTTTCCTCCTTCAGCCAGGATTTGCCCCTGGAGCTCTGCAGGGCTGGTTGGTGCCCTCAGGGATATTTCCCAGCCAAGATTTTCCCCCTTCAGCCAGGATTTGCCCCTGGGGCTCTGCAGGGCTCCTTTGTGCCCTCAGGAATCTGTTCCAGCCTGCATTTGCCCCTGGAGTCCTGCAGGGCTGGTTTTTGCCCTCCCAGGTATTTTCCAGCCAGGATTTGCCCCTGGGGCTCTGCAGGGCTGGTTGGTGCCCTCAGGAATCTTTCCCAGCCTGGATTTTCTCCTGGAGTTCTTCAGGTCTGGTTGGTGCCCTCGGGAATCTTTCCCAGCCCAGATTTGCCCCTGGGGCTCTGCAGGTCTGGTTTTTGCCCTCAGAGATCTTTCCCAGCCTGGATTTGCCCCCTCCAGCCAGGATTTGCCCCCTCCAGCCCCTGGAGTTCTGCAGGTCTGATTGGTGCCCTCAGGAATCTTTCCCAGCCCAGATTTGCCCCTGGGGCTCTGCAGGGCTGGTTTTTGCCCTCCCAGGTATTTTCCAGCCAGGATTTGCCCCTGGGGCTCTGCAAGGCTGGTTGGTGCCCTCAGGAATCTTTCCCAGCCTGGATTTGCTCCCTCCAGCCAGGATTTGCTCCTGGAGTTCTGCAGGTCTGGTTTTTGCCCTCAGGAATCTTTCCCAGCACAGATTTGCCCCTGGGGCTCTGCAGGTCTGGTTTCTGCCCTCAGAGATCTTTCCCAGCCCAGATTTGCCCCTGGGGCTCTGCAGGTCTGGTTTCTGCCCTCAGAGATCTTTCCCAGCCCAGATTTGCCCCTGGGGCTCTGCAGGTCTGGTTTTTGCCCTCAGAGATCTTTCCCAGCCAGGATTTGCCCCCTCCAGCCAGGATTTGCCCCTGGGGCTCTGCAGGTCTGGTTTCTGCCCTCAGAGATCTTTCCCAGCCCAGATTTGCCCCTGGGGCTCTGCAGGTCTGGTTTTTGCCCTCAGAGATCTTTCCCAGCCCAGATTTACCCCTGGGGCTCTGCAGGTCTGGTTTTTGCCCTCAGGGAACTTTCCCAGACTGGATTTGCCCCTTCCAGCCAGGATTTGCCCCCGCAGTCTTGCAGGGCTGCTCTGTGTCCTCACAGGTAGGTGCCATATGTGAAATCCATTCGCCTTCCATGACTCACTGGCTGTCCCAGGCTGTGGAGGAGGAGCCAGAGAAACGCTGCTGTCAGCACATTGGAATCCCAGATTCCACATGCAATCATGGCTTTGGATGAAAACCCCAAAGTCCTTCCCCTGCCAGGGCTCCCACCTCCCTGCGCCCGGAATGATTCTGTGAGTGCGGCTGGCCCTAACAAAGCTGAGCTTGGTTAATGTCCACAGGAACAGGGATTTAATTAAGGTGAAAACAGCACTTGGAATCGAAGTGACAAAGCAGATTTGTTATAAGGCTACTTACAAAATAAATTAGAGATTTTTATGTTGTTTTTTTTTTTTATGAGAAAAAGAATCTTCTTCCAGAGGATGGATTTACACAAGGTGGAAAGGTTTGTTTCATAAAACCCCAGAAAGGTTTGGGTTGGAAGGGAGCTTAAAAATCAGCTCATTCCATCCCTGCAATTAGCAGGGACACCTTCCACCATCCCAGGTTGCTCCAACCTGGCCTTGGACACTTCCAGGGATGGGGCAGCCACAGGTTCTCTGGGAATTCCATCCCAGCCCCTCACAGGGAAGAATTTATTCCAAATATTCATCTACCCCTGCCCTCTGGAAGTCCGAATCTCTGTTTTCCTGTCACTCCTCTGCCTCCCTGCCCTGTCCCTTCCTCAACATCTCATCCTTCTGCCCTACCTGAGCACAGCAGGTCTGGGCCCCCACCTGGAATTTCCAAAACCCATTTCCCTACAATCCAGCATCACTCTCATTTATTTTCCACCACAGAACTTGACCACGATTGGGTTGTGATCTCACCTGGAAGCTCACAGCCCATTTCCCTCCAATCTGTCACTGACATATTTTATGAAAATCCTTTTGCTAGGATTTTTCTCCTGAGAAGCTGAGAGGCCTCAGAAATGGAATGTAAACAATAATTATCTGATTGCTTGGAATGTGGTCTGGAGGTTGCTTACCAACAGGTGCATCTTTGATTGGTTGCATGTGAATTGTTTTTAACTAATGGCCAATGACAGCCAGCTGTGTCAGACTCTCTAGACTGTCACAAGATTTTACTATTCATTCCTTTCTAGCCTTCTGATGTCTCCTTGCTCTTTCTTTAATATAGTTTGAGTATATACTTTTCTTTTAATATAATATATATCATAAAATAATAAATCAACCTTCTGAAACTTTACTGGAATAATTACCAATACAGCCAGACAGGATGTACCTTGGCTTGTCTGGCCCTTGGTGCTGAACCAAACAGCAGCACTGGGGTGTTTCACCCCACAGACACTTTGGGCTGCCTGGGTGTGTGGTGTTTCACCCCACAGACACTTTGGGCTGCCTGGGTGTGTGGTGTTTCACCCCACAGACACTTTTGCCTGCCTGGGTGTGTGGTGTTTCACCCCACAGACACTTTGGGCTGCCTGGGTGTGTGGTGTTTCACCCACAGACACTTTGGGCTGCTGGGTGTGTGGTGTTTCACCCCACAGACACTTTGGGCTGCCTGGGTGTGTGGTGTTTCACCCCACAGACACTTTTGCCTGCCTGGGTGTGTGGTGTTTCACCCCACAGACACTTTGGGCTGCCTGGGTGCTGCAGCTGGGCCCTGCAGACAAGTCCAGGCCTGCAGGAGCTCTGGTGCTGCTGGGATGGAGCTTCCCCCCATAACAGGGGCTGCCCCTCAGGTTTCCCTCTGTGGAGAAGCTTTCAGGCCATGGTGAAGGAAAGGAGTCGGTTCTGAGGGAGGGTTTGGATCCAGAGCTTTATTCTGGCCCTCAGGCCTCTGAATGCAGCACCAGCTCCCACAGAACTCCCTGAGCCCGTGGCTGCTGCTCCTTTAACCCCGGGGAGAGGGGCAGGGAAGGGGCAGGGAGGCACCAAGCAGGGACAGGAGGGGAGGGACAAAGGGACAAAGGACACCTGGATGGCCCAGGGCCCCCAGGGGTAGAGGGCATCCTTTGGATCTGCCCAATCACTCGAGGCCCTTCTGGAATGCCAGGACTGACAGACAGTGCTGGGAGGGGAAGGAGAGGAGACTGACACAGCTGGGAGGGAATTATCAGGGAGGGATCCGAGGTTCTGGCGTAAACCTTGAAATCAGGACGCAACAAAACATGGAGTGAAGATTCTCATCTCTTCCCTTGTCCTGGGGACCCTCAAACACCACCACACCAATCCAGCATCATTCCCGTGTATTTTCCACCCACAGAACATGAACATCCAGGTGGAGGACATCCGGATCCGCGCCATCCTGGCCACCTACCGCAAGCGGGTCCCTGTCACCGAGGGCTACGTGGAGGTGAAGGACGAGGGCACCTGGAAGCAGATCTGTGACAGGCACTGGACCATGAAGAATTCCCGGGTGGTCTGCGGGATGTTCGGCTTCCCCAGCGAGAGGAAATACAACACCAACGTCTACAAGTAAGGGCAGGGCTGGGCTGGGTGGAGCCACAGCCATTCCTTGGAACACTCGGGGCCTTGTTCCTGAGGCAGATTGGCAGGTGGCACCTGGGACCCTGTTGGAGGAGCAGCTCCGACTGCTTCCTTCCTCCAGATGGGATTTTTCATTTGTGTGAATGTTTGGAATGTCCACTGTTTCCTGGTGCAGGCAGGGGAGGCCTTTGATCCTCATCCATGGGATGCAGACCTTGATGAGTATCAGTGTTTAACAGGGCCTGGAATGGGAGATGGGACACTTGGCCCAAAAGATATTTGTATTTTGTAATACCAGCTTGAGGATGGGCTCTGTGTGGTGGGCAGGGCAGGGAGCAAACTGCTCCCACTGGGCCAGTAAATCCATCAGCTGTGAGAAAATCATGGAATGGTTTGGGTTGGAGGGGATTTACAACCCCAGTCCCATCCCTGCCATGGCAGGGACACCTTCCACGAGACCAGTTTGCTCCAAGCTGGCCTTGGACACTTCCAGGGATCCAGAGGCAGCCACAGCTCCTCTGGGAATTCCATCCCAGCCCCTCCCCACCCTCCCAGGCAGGAATTCCTTCTCCATGTCCCAGCTCACCCTGCCCTCTGTCAGTTTGAAGCCATTCCCTGTGTCCTGTCATTCCATAATGTAAAGTCTCCAACTGCTCACCCCATTCCTGTGCAGAGAAATCCAGAGGTGGGATCAGTTCTGGATGTGCTGGAAGTTCCAAAAAAGTCACCTTGGAATAAAATGAGCCTTTTTGTCCTTCCTTGTGCCCAGGTTCCTCCTTCCCACCCCGAGTGCAATTCCTGTCTGTGCATCCCAGAAGGTGCTGGGAAAAGGGTTCACTGTGATCTCAGTGCTGCTTTTCCCCCCTACATTTGCAGATTCCTTTAAAGTGAAGGAAGAAAGCAGTGATTTATAGGGAGAACATTGTGTTTTCAAGAGCTGCAAGTGGAAAGGTTTAGGCTGTGTTTCCTGTTCCTTGGGAGCCAGGAGCTCTGGACTTTTTTGTTGTCATTGCTTCTGTTTGCTTTTTGTCACCAAGCCCTCATCCCAGACTGGGATCTTCCCACACTGTTCCCTAGGAAAAACACCCTAAAGCAGATGTAAAAGAGTTTAAATGAAATTCTGTCTGGTTCCTTTGCTGCTCCCTGACCTGGGGAGTGGGGAAGCAGCGGCTGCTCCAGGGGAGGGCTGAAGGCCCCAGGCAGGAGCCGTGGTTTTCCTGCCTGCTCCTTCTGGCCTGTGCAATTGCTATTCCTGAACATTCCCTCGGGATCAGCCTGGCCACATTTCGTTTCTTTCATTAGCAAGATCCCGATCTGCTGGAGAGGTGCTTGGCTTGGAATAGCCCAAAGGCATACAGGGAAAATCAGGAATAAAAACCCACTGGAATTCAGGGAGATGAGCAGGGAATTCGTTGCCCTGGACACCAGTTTCAGGAGGTTGTGCTTCCACCAGTGCAGCACATTTCCCTCAAACCCATCCCTGAGATTCCCATCCCCTGCAGGAGCAGGGAATAAATTACCTCCAGACAGACAAAGTAGATTTTTCCTGCTTCCAGTTGTGGCCTTTCCAAGAAAAGCATTAACTGAAGCATCTGGAGCCATCTGCCTTAAATAAAAGTGTGCTCAGGAGCTGTCCTGTCTCTGGGACACATGGGAATGGAAAGACTGACAGAAGGTTGTTCAGCAGCAACTCAGCACTGCTGAAAATCCATGGAATTGAGCTGGAATTAGGAATATGAAGTGCTCCCAAATCCCAGCCCAGGAGATCTCTGCTGCTGAAGAGCCTCAGTGCCCCAAGACCTCCCTCCCTTTCCTTGTTTTCAGCCTTGCTGGGCTCCAGCACCCACAAATATTTTGGAAAACACGCAGAACATTATCCCAGGTTGGGAAACAAATGGGGATGGCATTTTATTGGATGGGAGAGGCTTGTAAAGCTTTGGCAGCTGCACAGTTTTGTTTGTCAGCAGAGTTTAAAAGCTGAATTCTTCCTTGGGCTGTGTTAGGGGCGGGTGCATCGTGTTCAGCTGGTGTTACTGGGAAAGCTCCCAGTTCTGGGCTGGGAATGACCTTGCATTTGTGGTCAAGGCACTGGGATGGTGACCAGTGGCACCTTCTCACCTGGGCCAGGGGATGCTTGTCCCACATGGTTTGTTTGGGAGAGGGAAAAGCTCATCCTGGAGCTAAACCCCCTCTCCCTGTGAATGTGAAGCTGCAGAAAAGCCCTTTCTCCTCATTCCTCCCTTTAATTTGAGAATCCCCTTCTCCCTGGAGCAGATCCTTCCCCACTCCTCCTCCTCCACAGCCGGGAGAAAAGCTGGGATCAGGTTTCTGCCGGCCAAGGCTGCCCCTTCCCACATCCCCCATCCCACTGCCCAGCTCGGCTCCTGCACAGTGCTGGGAGGTGAAATGATTTGCAGATGGGTCTTGCTCAAAAGAAAACAAGTGAGTTCATCGTTGTCCTGCTGCCAGGGGTTTATTCCTGACTGTAACTCAGCCCCTGGAGCTGACAGCACAATTTATGTTCGGAAATGGAACAAATCTAAAGTTGAGTCCCTGGTCTTGTTCATTCCTCACAGTGGCTTTTATATAGGAGCTGCTGTAACTCCTCCTCCCAGTTCCTGCTCTGGCTGGGAAAGTAGAATTTAATGCATTTTGCTGATGGAGAGAGGAGAAATTTGGGACCAGTGAGACAGACCTGATGCCTTTTTGAAGTCTTTGTGATTTGACAAAGAAATGGCTCCAGGATCAAAGAGCTACTCCCAGCTGAACCAGCCTGCTCACCCCAATACAAACCCAGTCAGAGGTGCTGGGCAGCCATCACTTCAGTATTTGCAGTAGGAACCCTCCTGGGGTTTTTTCCCCTGGAAAATCCAGGATCTGAAGGGTTTTGGTGGGCCTGGCTTCCCTCCCTCCTCCCTGAGGCTGAAGGCAGCACCTTGATAACTTCAGGAGTTTCCAAAGGGTTGGAACCTCTGCTCACAGCCCCGAGGAGGAGCTCCCCAGCCTCTGCTCCGTGGGATTTGGGTGAATTCTCCTAGAGTTTGTGTGCAGTGATTTGTTCTCTGCTCCCCAAGTCGTGGAATCGTGGAATCCCCTGAGTGCTCCTTAACCAACCCTTCCCACAGAGCTCCACTTGAGCTTTGTTCAAAGCTTTTCTGGGATGAAAATCCCTCTCTCCTCCCCAGTAGAAATGGTTTGAGTTCCAGCTTGACCTGGAATTGGCCGAAATCTCCCAGCAGGAATGTTCATTCCCACCTCTGACCTGAGCAGCATCACCCTGGGCTCCCACTGATCCCAGCTGGACCCTTTTGTGTTAAAAACAAAACATCAGCAAAGCCCTGAGATTCTGGCTGTAAAGATCAGCTGAATTCTGCTTTTCTAACATAGATTCAGTCTGGGGACACGAGGTGGGGCTTTATTTCTCCCCAGCCTCCCGAGGGCTGTTAATACCATCCAGATGTTGATGCCTCATGAAATTTCCAGGATGAGGTCATTGTTTGCTATTCTAAGGCATCCCCATCCCTGCTTCCCTAAGCCAGGCTGGTTCTTGTCTGCTCTGAAGTTCATGGAGCTCTCTGGACCTGTCTGTGAAGGATGAAAATGCTCCTTCAGGTCCTCCCTTCTGTCCTGAGCATGGCTGGGAAGTGGCTGCTTTCTATTGCATCCTCCCTGGGTTTACTTTTTAAATTTTAACTCTGTTCCTGTTTTCCCATCCCTTTTTTCTCGATTCAGGGAGTCCCTGACAGCTCTGCTGTGCCAGAGGTGGGTTCTGACAGCCACTGTTCCCCACAGGTCAGGCAGGGTCCTGCTGCTGTTGCCTGGGATGGATCCCAGCCCTGCTTCATCCTTTTCCAGCATCATGGGATGCAGCTGCAGCTCCCTCTCCAGCCTGGCTGGATCCATCCCCAGCCTCAGCCCAGGCAGATCGGGTTCCAGGAAGGATTAGTGAGAGGCTGGGAGCCAGGAGAGCCTGGAGAAATGCTGAGCTGGGCAGCAGAGCCCAGCGAGCACAGGGGAGAAAAGTGTCCCCTCAAACATCCGTGACCCTGCACAATCTAAATCCTAAATGGAAAACCTGGGGAAGCCTGGACCTGCTCAGTGGAGTGCCCAAAACCCCCTCAGAAAGGCTCCTTGCCCCTCTGCAGCTGCTCCCCAGGCTCTCTCTGCTGCAGCAAAGCAGAACTGCTGCTTTTCCTCCCCAAATTCCACCCATCTTGCTGTGCCATTTATCACAGCTAATCCCTGTGGCAGAGATTCCTGGAGTGAGGAGCAGCACCGGGATCACACCGAGCCACGTGGAGATCCCAGCAGGGCGTGGGCTCCTCTGAGCCTTCCCCAGTTTTCACTCCGTTTTGAGGCTGACCTGACCCATATTTCCATTCCTCTCCATTCCAGCAGCCTCCCAGTCAGGATGGAGCTGGATCCCTTCCCTTCCCAGTTTATCACACGTGCCCCTTCCTCCTCAGGAGTGCCTGGAGCAGCTCCAGGAGGTTTGAGAGCGAGGAGCCGGAGCTGCTGCCAAGCTGCTCTGCTGTGAACAAGCCAGCAGGGGAATTGCTGCTCGTGCTCTCGGAAATTGCTCTCAGGTTGTTAACACAGCCTCAGAGAGGCTTTGGATTTTTCCCAATCCCAGCTGATAGCTGCTGGGCAGCAACAGGGGAGGCTTTTTCTGGGGGCTCTCCAGCCCAGTTATCTGCACAAATCCTCTTGGTCTATTTGGAATTAGCTGATCCCTGACCCTGCCTTGGATGGGATCTGCACTCCTGGGAATGTGTCATTTGCTGCAGCTGCACCTTTGATTCCTACTCAGACTTTTTAGCTCTTGCAGGGATTTATTTCCTTTAAAGTGCTTGGACTTGATGATCTTGGAGGTCTTTGCCAAGCTTAAGTGGACACCTCAACAGAGTCATGGTGTGGATGAACAGATCAGCCTCCAAATAATCCTGTCCAATCCTCACTTCATCCTAGGGCATTTTTCCTCCCAAAATTTAGCAAAATCCCTTCTGTTTGCAGATCCCTAACTTCTCCCCTTCCCCTTAACTCCTTTCAGGATGTTTGCCAGCAGAAGGAAGCAGCACTACTGGCCTTACTCCATGGACTGCAGCGGGAACGAGGCCCACATTTCCAGCTGCAAACTGGGGAACCACCTGACGGGCGCTGGGAAGAACAGCAGCTGTGACAATGGGATGCCCGCGGTCGTCAGCTGCGTGCCCGGCCGCGCCTTCGCCCCCAGCAGCCACAGCGGCTTCCGAAAGGCCTTCAGGCAGGAGGTGAGCAGGGAGCAGCCCCAAAACGGGCTGGAAAAGCCTTAAAAAGCGTCTGATCCCAGCCCCAGCCACGGGCAGGGCGCGTTCTGCTGGGCTTGTTCAAACCTGGCCTTGGGCGCTTCCCACAGCTTCCCTGGGAATTCCATGCCGGGACCTCGCCGCTGTTCCAGGGAAGAATTCCTTCCCAAAATCTCATCCATCCCTTCACTCTGGCAGTGGGAAACCATTCCCTGTGTCCTGTCCTGTGACAGCATTCACAGGGGTCTGAGGATGAGGGAAGAGACGAGGATCTGACTCGATGTTTCACAAGGCTGATTTATTATTTTATGATATATGTTATATTAAAACTATGCTAAAAGAATAGAAGAAAGGATTTCATCAGAAGGCTGGCTAAGAATAGAATAACAAAGAATGATAACAAAGGTTTGTGGCTCAGACAGAGTCTGAACCAGCTGACTGTGATTGGCCATTAATTAGAAACGACCACATGAGCCCAATCCCAGATGCACCTGTTGCATTCCACAGCAGCAGATAACCATTGGTTACATTTTGTTCCTGAGGCCTCTCAGCTTCTCAGGAGGAACAATCCTAAGGAAAGGATTTTCATAAAACGTGTCTGTGACACTGTCCCTCCAGGCCTTCCTGCCCAGCAGATTCCCAGAGTTCAGGGCTGTTCCTGCAGCATCCACTGAGAGGTGTGAAAACAGAATTATGGGATGGTTTGGGTTGGCAGGGACCTCAAAGTCCATCCCATTCCACCCCTGCCATAGGCAAGGACACCTTCCACTATCCCAGGTTGCTCCAAGTCCTGTCCAGCCTGGCCTGGGACACTTCCAGGGATGGGGCAGCCACAGCTGCTCTGGGGATTCCATCCAGCCCCTCACCACCCTCACAAGGAGGAATTTCTTCCCAATATCCCGTCCAGCTGCCAATTAGAGCAGGAAACCCCTGGGGGTGTAACCTTCACCACCAACTCCCACAACGCCCCCTCTGCAACTCCCAGCACCTCCCTGCACCCCCAGCTGAGCTCCCACCCTCCCAAATTCCAGGTTCTTCCCTCCATCCCCTGCCTCCAAAGGGTGGGAGAGCAGCTCCCAGGGCAGCTGGCAGAGCTGGGAGAGAGGAGTGAGGAAATCCCTGGGTCACGTTCCTGTTGGAGCTGCTCTGAGCCAGCTGAACTCGTGCCCGGCTGTGCTGTTCCACAGGCTCTGGAATTCTGCTGGAATTACCCTGTGGAAATCAGCTGGCATTTCCTTTCCCTCCATGTCCTCTGCGAGGAAATGCCCTGAGGGGAGACTGGGAAAACACAGGGAGCTTGGAAAGCTGGGTTTGTTTAGTCTAGTGAGGAGGAGAGCGCTGAGCAGGGCGTAAAAATCCCAGGAGATGCAAAAATGTTGGAAAACAAGGCTGGAATTGGTCATTCCTGGTGTCAGGGGTAGGAGAGGACAGCTTGACAAGCAGCAAGCATGGGCTAGGTGGGTGCCAGGGGAAATTTTCCAGCTGCAGCCTTGGGATTCAGGGGGAATCTCGGAGGTTTCTCATTGGAGAATTTTGTGGATTTGTGAAATTGTGACCATTTGGATTTTGTGGCTGTTCTTGGGTGTTTTAGGGGGCTCTCTGGGCTCTTCCCAGGTGCCAATAATGGGAATAATTATTGGTGGTAATAATGCAACCCCTGCCTGGATCCCAGGCTCTTCCCTGCAGCAGAGCTTGCAGGATTTAGGCCCGGGAGGTGAAAGGTTTTGTAAATCATTGTTCATCTCCCGAGCCGCACGCGCTGCCAAGTAATTCCTTAAGCCTTTGTTTGGGCTTTGCATGTCCTTGGTGTGACCCCAGCCTGGAGAAAAAGCTCCAGGCATGATCCCAGTCGGAAAAGCAAAGGATTTTTGGTGTTCCCAAACCTAAAGCTTTGCTCTCACCACCTCAGGCCAGCTCTCGGGTGCAGCAGGAATTGGCAGCTGCCTGCTTGGCACTGGAGAGAGGAGTGGGTGATTAACAGATAATAATTAAATTATATTTAGCTATATTATATATAAATTATATTTAACTAAATTATATATAACTATATTATATTATAAACCCAGAAATGAGTGGAACTGGAGCTGCCACTCAGCTGGACATTTCTGACTGAAAATTATTATTATTCCATTTTTCACTTATTATTTATTTTTTCATTATTATTTCTTATCTATTGTTTGTATATTATTATTGGTCAGAACTGAGCACTCAGGTGGGTTTTATAGGGCTTGAGCTCAATGTTGGTCCTGGATTAAGCCAGGGCTGGAGGTGTGAACAGCCAATAAACCTCTTTAGGGCAGCCAGGGGTGAGAGCTGGGTACTGGTGGGCTCAGGGCCCTTCCTAACCCTCCTGCAAAGCTCCCAAGGAATCCAAGAAATGGGGTTTTTTCCATTTTTTCCAGGATAGAAGAAGGTTCCTAAATCCAAGCACGTGCAGAGAACTGGGATGGGGTTTTTTATTCTCTGCCCACACGTGAGGTGTGAGAAACAAAATCTTTGCAGATAAAAATTTCCTTTCATCCAGCACTTTCAGGCATTGAATTATGTGATGGATTTTTTAAGGTGTCTCAAGTGATTCTATGATAATTTTTAGGCCCAGATTTCCATAAATAACCCCTGCAAAGGATGGAAGTGACCCCTCTGTTTTGCCTTTTTCCCAACCTGGAAAGGAAACTCGAGACAATTTTAGTAAGGGGGAATAGAAAAGAGAATCTTTATTTGAAGGCCTTCAAGGAGCAGTTATGGAAAAATGTCCACAAAACACCCCCAACAAGGGAGGTGGTGGAGTCCCCATCCCTGGGTGTGTTTAACAAAGCCTGGATGTGGCACTGGGTGCCAGGGTTTGGGTGAGGTGTTGGGGCTGGGTTGGACTCGATGATCTTGAAGGTCTCTTCCAACCCAGTGATTCTGTGAATTCTGTAAATTCTGTAAATTCTGCATTTATAACAAAGGCAGAACCCAAAGGGCATCACCACTCCTGTGTCTGTGTCTTGCAGCAGCCCCTGGTGAGGCTGAAGGGAGGAGCCAACACGGGCGAAGGCCGCGTGGAGGTGCTGAAGAACGGGGAGTGGGGCACGGTGTGCGACGACAACTGGAACCTGGTGTCAGCCAGCGTGGTGTGCCGAGAGCTGGGCTTTGGCAGCGCCAAGGAGGCCATCACGGGAGCCAGGCTGGGCCAAGGTGAGCTCCACCATGCTCCAGGGAGCTCCAGCATGCTCCAGGGAGCTCCACCATGCTCCAGGGAGCTCCACCACAGCTCCAGGGAGCTCCACCACAGCTCCAGGGAGCTCCACCACAGCTCCAGGGAGCTCCAGCATGCTCCAGGGAGCTCCAGCATGCTCCAGGGAGCTCCACCACAGCTCCAGGGAGCTCCACCATGCTCCAGGGAGCTCCACCACGCTCCAGGGAGCTCCACCATGCTCCAGGGAGCTCCACCACAGCTCCAGGGAGCTCCACCATGCTCCAGGGAGCTCCACCACGCTCCAGGGAGCTCCACCATGCTCCAGGGAGCTCCACCACAGCTCCAGGGAGCTCCACCACGCTCCAGGGAGCTCCACTACGCTCCAGGGAGCTCCACCATGCTCCAGGGAGCTCCACCACAGCTCCAGGGAGCTCCACCACAGCTCCAGGGAGCTCCACCACGGCTCCAGGGAGCTCCACCATGCTCCAGGGAGCTCCAGCATGCTCCAGGGAGCTCCACCACGCTCCAGGGAGCTCCAGCACGCTCCAGGGAGCTCCAGCACGCTCCAGGGAGCTCCACCACAGCTCCAGGGAGCTCCACTACAGCTCCAGGGAGCTCCACCACAGCTCCAGGGAGCCCTGGGCTCGGGAGGGTTCATCCCCAAACACCTGACACCAAATTCATCCCCAAACACCAAATTCATCCCCAAACACCTGACACCAAATTCATCCCCAAACACCAGAAACCAAATTCATCCCCAAGCACCAGACACCAAATTCATCCCCAAATCCCAAATTCATCCCCAAATTCATCCCCAAACACCTGACACCAAATTCATCTCCAAACACCAAATTCATCCACCAAACACCAAATTCATCCACCAAACACCAGACCCCAAATCCATCCACCAAACACCAGAGGTTTATGTCCAGAAAGGAGACAGAGGAGTCCTGGTACTTTATGCAAATAAGAGGAGAGGCCATGGGGGTCTCAAATTTTTGGAGGATGCAGACTCCTTTTAATCCTAATTTCTCTCTCTCATTCCCCACTGGCTGAGGTACTTGAGAGGCACAGACTTCCCAAATCCCCTAATACAGACCCCCTTTTAATCTATCCCCCTTTGTCTTTTCCTTGTGTCCATCAGTGGAATTCCTATGGAACTTATGGTTCCTCCCATTGTTTCTTTCATCTCTCAGTATCCAGTTTTATTCATCAGCAGGCCCACAGCTTGTTTGTAAAGACAAATCCCTCATTCCTTTCACTGGTGCCCTGAATTAAGGAATGTTCCACCCTCAGGAACATCCCATGACTCAGGGCACGGTGGATTTTCGTCGGGATGTTCAATTTGAGGACCAGGAATTTCTTCCCTAACCTTAATGAGTCTCTTGGGGCCAGACTGGAATTCTGTGACTTAAAAAGATTCCCTGAAAAAAAAAGCCTGAGGATGATGAGTTTGACCTTTTGATCAGGCAGCTGTTCCTGAGCAAAAGGTCAAACTCAGCATCCCAGTAATTAATTCTTAACAACTCATCATTGTTCCAGTAATTAATTCTTAATTATCTCATCTGCTGCTATGAAATTCCCTTTGAGTTCTCCAGAACCACACCATGATGTAATGCATTACTAGAAGGTTCCTGGCAAAAAATGAGTCCTGGAGTCAGACTTCAAACGCTCCAATTTAAGAGCAGGACAGTAATTTAGCTCATTATAAATAGAAGGGCATTTGAACAGCTCAGAGCCAGGCTTGGGTTTGGATTTCCTGTCTTTGGGAGTTGGTTTAAATCCCAAAAAGTGGTCAAAGGTGAACTGAAACCACCTGGTGATTCCCACAGCCTGCTCCTGGGCTGGAAATCAAAAAAAAAAAATTAAAAAAAAAATACACCAAATCGTTGTTGTCAGAATAAAAAAATTTAAAATTAAAAATTTAAAAATTTCAACCAAACCCTTGTTGTGAAAATAACCAAAGAAAAAACAAAACAAAAAAAAATCAGAAGACACCATGACCTTGTGGGAATAACCAAAAAAAGACACCAAATCCTTGTTGTGAGAATAACAAAAATAAAGACACCAAACCCTTGGGAGAATAATTAAAAAAAAATGACACCAAGCCCTTGTTGTGAGAATCACAAAAAAAACCAAAGACACCAAATCCTTTTTGTGAGAGTATCAAAAAAAAAATTACACCAAATCTTTGTTGTGAGAAAAAAGAAATGGGGGAAATTTTGAGACTAAAGGAATGGGGGAAAATTTGAAAAGAAAGGAATGGGGGAAATTTTGAGACTAAAGGAATGGGGGAAAATTCAAAAAGAAAGGAATGGGGGAAATTTTGAGACTAAAGGAATGGGGGAAAATTCGAAAAGAAAGGAATGGGGGAAATTTTGAGACTAAAGGAATGGGGGAAAATTTGAAAAGAAAGGAATGGGGGAAATTTTGAGACTAAAGGAATGGGGGAAAATTCGAAAAGAAAGGAATGGGGGAAATTTTGAGACTAAAGGAATGGGGGAAAATTCGAAAAGAAAGGAATGGGTGAAATTTTGAGACTAAAGGAATGAGGGAAAATTCGACAAGAAAGGAATGGGGGAAATTTTGAGACTAAACGAATGGGGGAAATTCCTTCAGCTTAGAGAAGGGGAGAGAAGGAAAAAACACGTGGGTGTCCTGAGTCTGGGAAGCTTTAAAACTTGACCAAATCCACTGGATTTGCCAAAAACTCTCTTTGTGGCGGGCTGGAATTTGCTGATGTGTTTAAGGGCATGTAGGAAACAGCTTCATCATCCTGGGGCTGCCACGTGCGGGAGGAGAACGTGGAACGCGCTGTTCCACAGCCTGGAATCCCCCTCTGCCTTCCCACACGCTTCCCTTCCCGTTTTTTTTCCTTTCCCTTCTGCTCATCCATCAGTGCTCCCTGTCAGGAGTGTCCCTTGGGATGGGTGATGTCCCTCCAGCAGCCAGAGGGTCCCGTTTTGGTTGGAAAATGAGATTTTTCTGGCCCTGGATGCTCAGGGAGCTCTCCAAGCTCTCCACGACGTGTCCCTGTTCACATTTTATTCTGTTCCAGCTGCACCCCAGGGAATTTGGGGTTTCTCAGGGTGCTTTGAAGGAGCAGCTTCACCATGGGTGTGGGAGGTTGGATTTCACAGCTAAATCAGCTCCCAGTGGCTGAACTGGGAGTCCCAGTTCACAGAATTCACAGAATTCACAGAATCCACAGAATCCCCAGGTTGGAAGAGACCTTCAAGGTCATCGAGTCCAACCCAGCCCCAGCCCCTCACCCAAACCCTGGCACCCAGTGCCACATCCAGGCTTTGTTAAACACACCCAGGGATGGTGACTCCACCACCTCCCTGGGCAGAACATTCCAGAACTTTATCACTCTTTCCATAAAACCTTTTTTTCCTAATATCCAACCTGTATTTCCCTTGGCACAGCTTTGAGACTGTGTGCTCTGCCTCTGTCAGTGCTGCCTGGAGAAAGTTAAGAGAAAGTGGGAGAGCAGTGGCTTCCACAGAGCTCAGGGTGTGGGAGGAGGATCTCTCCACCTTTCATGGACCCAGATTAAACAATTCACCCTTATTTCCACAAGAGGATGAGACACTGAGCCCAGAGCTCATGGATGTGGTATTTTCAGAGACCCCCACTGAAGGCAGGGGTGATGCATCTGACTCCCTGTTTTCATCAGGCTAATTTGTCATGAACGGCGGGAGAAATGTGACACACTATATGCGATGAATAGCAAATTTCGAAGTTTATTGAAAGCTTACTTATATTTATATTGGTGTTAATGAAGCTTATACATATTGCAAAAGTTGAGCTCATTATTGGTTAAAGCACACTTAGATTAACTACACTTTTTTTTATTTTCTAACAATTATTTTGTTTCTATGTTTGCATTCTTCTAATTTTTCTATTTAAGATAACTATATTTTCTGGCAAGCGATTTTCTCTCTCGTCTTCTCGTTTTAGGGAAGGTCACTGTGACTTTCGTTAGTAATTGGGCACTGGTTGCTCAGTTCTTAGCTTGTTTTTCTTATCTTTGTCCATTGGTATCACATCGAAATGTCTTTTCTCAGCTAACCAATTATCTAAAAAGCTCTCTACACTAATTGATTATTTTATGATCTATAGTATATCAAAGAATGCTATACCAAACTACACTAAAGAATACAGAAAGGATACAGACAGAAGGCTAAAAGATAATAAAGAAAAACTGGTGACTCCTTCCAGAGTCCCAACACAGCCTGACTGTGATTGGTCATTAAATGAAAATAATTCACATGTTGGATAAACAATCTCTAACCACATTCCAAAGCAGCAAAACACAGGAGAAGCAAATCAGAGAATTATTGTTTTAATATTTTTTGAGGCTTCTCATCTTCCCAGGAGAAGAATCCTAGGCAAAGAGATTTTTCAGAAAATATGTCAGTGACACATGGATGTGTTGATATCCTGGGAGGGAGAACATGGAATTAAACCCCAAGGAGTAGGTGAAGGCAAATGTTGGATGGACAAGCCTAATCCTGGGGGTTTTTAAGTGCAATGGCATGGAAGGAAATGCAATTTTCCTCACATTTCAACATTTGGCTCCATTTCTGTGCCCCCATGTGCCATCATTTCCCCAGGAAGAGCAGCCCTGCCAGGGTTCTCTGGCTCAGAGAGGCCCTGCCCTTGTCCTTTGTCATCTTTGTCATCCTTGTCATCCCACTGGAGTGGCTTTGCCAGGCTGGGAATGTTGGCCTGGCTCCCCCCTGCGTTCCTGGAGCTCCTCCCTCCAGTTCTGGTCAGGGCTTTATCCCCCTCAGCCCTTTGGTGGCTGCAGAATGACTGGGAAGTGCTGCCAGCTCCAGATGGGAACCACAGACAGGATTTTAATGAGAGAGGCAAAAACAAAGGACAAAATTCCCATTCCCAGCAGCCTCCCCCAGGAATGTCCTCCCACCCTGCCCAGCTGTGGTGGGAGGGATGGACACAGGGCTGGCCAAGTTGGCCAAACCCCATTAATAAATTGTGGGTGAAATTAAACCCAGCATATTCACATCTCTGCCTTGTTGTTCTTTCTAACCAGTTTTGGAAGCAGGAGCTGAGTTTTGCAGGAGGATCATTCCCTTCCATGCTTTTCTGATGGAAATTTCAATTTTCTGCTGCTACTTATCCTGGGAAGACCCAAATTATTCCATTTTTCTGCCAGCACCTCAAGCCCATTCTCTGCAATTGTTCTCTGCTGTTTCCCTCAGTGCTGGAATCCTCAACCTGCCCCAGATTTCTTTTCCTGACTCCTCATCCACGCTGGGGATGTTTCATTCACAGCCAAGGTGTCAATGTCCCAGTTCTATGTCAGGAATGTCAGGCCTTGACTGGAAGCAGATTCCAGCACAAAGACCCAGCCAGAAGGTCACAATTCGTGAATCCCTACAGCTGAAGTTTGTAAATTATGAAACAGTGGAAACTTGTTTTTTTCCTGGGATTCTTGCATGCTTGAGTTGCAGAGAATACTGGAAAGAATTAACCGGTGAAATTATAACGATAATTTCACAGATTTTTGGTTTATTTTTACAAAAAATCAGCAGATTTTTTCCAAGTTTTGAATGCTGGAGGTCACTGTGGCGTTCACAACCTGCTGGGGTATCCCCTCACCACACCAAAGGACTTTTTCCCCTGTTTTTTTCCCCAAGGAATGGGTCCCATCCACCTGAACGAGATCGACTGCACGGGCTTTGAGAAGTCGGTCACGGACTGCAAGTTCAACACCGAGTCCCAGGGCTGCAACCATGAGGAAGATGCTGCTGTGAGGTGCAATGTGCCAGCCATGGGCTTCCAGAACCAGGTGAGGAGCTGAGGGATCCAGGTGGGAGGGAATTTTGGCTGGGAATATTGGGCAGGAATCATTTCACCCAAGCCATGAGTATTTAATTCAGGTTTTACCTAAAAAAGGAGGGGAAATGAGGATGAGTGTCCCATTTTATGTGGGTTTTGTGCTCCCCTGAACTCGCCTCATGTGGTGTTTGCAGGGGTCCCAGGACGAGGGAAGAGATGAGAATCTTGACTTCATGTTTCAGGAGGCTGATTTATTATTTTATTATATATATGATATTAAAAGAAAATTATATATTAAAACTATACTAAAATAATAGAAGAAAAGATTTCATCAAAAGGCTTGCAAGGAAAGGAATGGAATGATAATAAAATCTTGTGACTGGCCAGAGAGTCCGAAACAGCTGGACTGTGATTGGCCATCAATTAAAAACAACCACATGAGACCAATCACAGATGCACCTGTGGCATTCCACAGCAGCAGATAATTATTGTTTTTCTTTTCCTCTGAGGCTTCTCAGGAGAAAAATCCTGGCAAAGGGATTTTTCATAAAATATCATGGCGACAGTCTCAGAGTCCTGAAATGAGGAAGGCCAGGTTTGAAGGAGTTTGGAGCAATCTGGGATGATCCAAGGTCCCTGCCCATGGCAGGAGGTGGCACTGAATGATTTTTAACCCAATTTTCAACCTTTTCCAAGGCAACTATTCCATGATTCTGTGCTAGCTGCATGAACTAGACACAGATTCCTCTGAGTGCTCCTTCCAAAGGTCTGAAGGAGCAGGGAAGGAAAGCTTTCCCAGGGAATTCCTGCAGCTGGTCCAACCCATTGAACTGCCAGGCTTGGCTGGACCAGCCCCTGCCAAGGTGGGAGAGGAGCTGAACTCCCTGAGCTCAAACCCAGGGGAGACTCCCAGTGCTGTTCCATGCCTGGATGGTTTCCCATGGCCTTCCCCTTGGGGACCCCCTCCTGATCCCACACAAAGGTGGGACACAGCCAGAGTGCCCTGAGTCATTTCCCTTTGAAAGATTTGGGAATGTGTTCATCTTTTCCTGACTCCTCATCCAGCCTGGGAATGTTTCATTCACAGCCAAGGTGTCAATGTCCCAGTTCTATGTCAGGAATGTCAGGCCTTGACTGGAAGCAGATTCCAGCACAAAGATGCAGCCAAAAGGTCACAATTTGTGAATCCCTACAGGTCAATCCCCCCTAAAAGCACCCCCCCCTTTTTGCCTGTCAGAATTCCCACTGTGGATGGGAAATCCCTCACCAGGGGTTCTCCAGCTCCGTGTTCAAGGGGGAGTTTTCTGCTGTGCAGCACCCAGGTCACTTCCAGCCAGGGACATCGATGATTCCAAACATTGGGGGAAAAAAAAATACTTCCCCACCCATTGCCCTCTCCCTTGGAAGTTGGCAGTGGATTGAGGGGTTCTGTGTCCTGCAGCTTCGCCTGAGCGGGGGCCGCAACCCCTACGAGGGCCGTGTGGAGGTGCTGGCCGAGCGCAACGGGACCCTGAGGTGGGGCACGGTCTGCAGCCACAACTGGGGCACCGTGGAGGCCATGGTGGTGTGCAGGCAGCTGGGGCTGGGCTTTGCCAGCCACGCCTTCCAGGTGAGCCTAAACCTAACCCAAACCAAACCCTAAACCTAAACCTAACCCCAAACCAAACCCTAAACCTAAACCTGACCCCAACCCTAACCCTAACCCTAAAACTAACCTTAACCCTAACCTTAAACCTAACCCCAAACCTAACCCTAACCCTAACCCTAAAGCTAACCCCAAACCTAACCCTAACCCGAAACCTAAACCTAACCACAGTGTTAACCCTAACCTTAACCCTAACCCTAACCAACCCTAACCTTAACCTAACCTTAACTTTAAGCCTAACCCTAATATTAACCCTAACCCAGCCCCTGCCTGGGCCTCACATCTGGATGGGTGGGCTGGGGGTGCTGGAGGAGGAGGAGGAGGAGGAGGAAGGGTCATTCCAAAAGGAGCTTCAAGAGTTACAGGAATATTTACCAATACAGCCAGACAGGACCTGCCTGAGCTTGTCTGGCCCTTGGTGCTGAACCAAACAGCAGCAACTGTGGTGTTTCACCCCAGGGACACTTTGGGCTGCCTGGGTGTGTGGTGTTTCACCCCACAGACACTTTGGGCTGCCTGGGTGTGTGGTGTTTCACCCCACAGACACTTTGGGCTGCTGGGTGTGTGGTGTTTCACCCACAGACACTTTGGGCTGCCTGGGTGTGTGGTGTTTCACCCCACAGACACTTTTGCCTGCCTGGGTGCTGCAGCTGGGCCCTGCAGACAAGTCCAGGCCTGCAGGAGCTCTGGTGCTGCTGGGATGGAGCTTCCCCCCATACCAGGGGCTGCCCCTCAGGTTTCCCTCTGTGGAGAAGCTTTCAGGCCATGGTGAAGGAAAGGAGTCGGTTCTGAGGGAGGGTTTGGATCCAGAGCTTTATTCTGGCCCTCAGGCCTCTGAATGCAGCACCAGCTCCCACAGAACTCCCTGAGCCCGTGGCTGCTGCTCCTTTAACCCCGGGGAGAGGGGCAGGGAAGGGGCAGGGAGGCACCAAGCAGGGACAGGAGGGGAGGGACAAAGGGACAAAGGACACCTGGATGGCCCAGGGCCCCCCAGGGGTAGAGGGCATCCTTTGGATCTGCCCAATCACTCGAGGCCCTTCTGGAATGCCAGGACTGACAGACAGTGCTGGGAGGGGAAGGAGAGGTGACTGACACAGCTGGTAGGGAATGATCAGGGAGGGATCTGAAGTTCTGCAGTAAACCTGAAATCACATTGCAACGAAGAGTGGAACTGGAAAGACCTTGAGAGTAAAATCTCGTTGTACAACACTGTGGAGGTGGGGGTTTGGAGTAGATGGAGCTCTGGAGGATAAAAAATGAAGGAACTTGATCAGGAACTGGAATGATGGCATAGGAAGGAATGGCTTCCTACTGCCAGAGGACAGGGTTGGAGGGAATACTGGGAATAAATTCTGCCCTGGGGCTGTGGTGAGGTCCTGGGATGGAATTCCCAGAGGAGCTGTGGTTGTCCCATCCCTGGAGGTGTACAAGGCCAGCTTGGAGCCACCTGGGACAGTGGAAGGTGTCCCTGCCCATGGCAGGGGTGGAATGGGATGGGATTTAAGGTCCATATTCCCATATGGTGAATTGTTCCCCACCAGGCATTTCCTGCTCACACTCAGAGTAGGATCAGATTGGATATTCAGGAGAAATCCTTCCCTGGGAGGGTGGGGAGGGGCTGGAATGGATTCTCTATAGAAGCTGTGGCTGCCCCATCCCTGGAAATGTCCAAGGCCAGGTTGGACAGGGCTTGGAGCAACCTGGGATAGTGGGAGGTGTCCCTGCCCGGGTGGGACTGGATGAGTTTTAAGATTTTTAAGGATTTGGTGACAAACATTCTGCTTCCCTGAGTTCTCTGTTGTTTTCTCACAGCTCAGGTTTCCTGACATTCACCAGTCCCTACTTGGGCTGGTGGCTGCATGCAGGTTCTTGTCCCTCCCTGAAATGCAGAGGTCAGGTTCAAACTGGGGTCAGGTCTCCTGAAAAAATGAGATTTTGCTCCTGGAGTTGCTCTGGTGCTGCCCTGGGTGCAGCCCCATGAATTCCCTGCTCCTCCCTGCCCCAAACCCTCCCTGCTCCAGCATGGCCAGGAATGACCCCTCAGTTCTGCCCCACCCCTGGGAGTGTCCCAGGCCAGGCTGGACAGGGCTTGGAGTGAGCTGGGCTGCTGGAAAGTGTCCCTGCCCATGGGATGAGCAATCCAAACCATTCCATGACCTCTGCCACCCTGGGCTCATGGACAGATCCCAACCATTCTCCATGGCCAGGGAGGGATCTGCAGATCCTCAGGGGACACTCAGGGCTTGGACACCCAGCAGGAAGGAGGCTGGAGCTGCCCACGTGCTGCTGGAGCCATTCCCTGCCCCAGCTGCTTCCTCCAGCTGATTTCCCCCCATCAAACCCCGGGAGCTGAGGATCTCCACATCCCTGAGCGTGGCCTTTCCGACTGCCTGGCTCTGTTGACACAGCCCTGGGAGTCCAGCGAGGAAAAGGCATTTTTTCCCTGAGCTGAGGCTGCTGGAATTTGGAACAGAAAAGGCTCTTTTACTGCCCCAGCTCTGGAGCATAAAGCCCCAGTGTGCAGAACAGGGCAGCCCTGTGTGCTCCCAGCCTTCCCAAACAGCCGGGGGCAACGGGAGCCGGGGGACACCGGGGGTTTCTTTTCCTGGAAACTGCTCCCAGCTCGGGCACGGACACATCTCAGAGGAGTTTTTTAGATTCTTTCTCCCCTCCCCTTCTCCCACGTTTTGGGGTTTGGGAGTTGATGTTGTGTCATTCCTATGAGTTTGGTAAAACTGGGGGAGGATGAGAGGAGAGGAAGTTTCATCAGGAACTGGAATGGTGGGACAAGGAGGAATGGCTTCCCACTGCCAGAGGAGAGAGTTAGATGGGATATTGGGAATAAATTCTTCCCTGCCAGAGGACAGAGTTAGATGGGATATTTGGAATAAATTTCCCACTGCCAGAGGGCAGAGTTAGATGGGATATTGGGAATAAATTCTTCCTTGCCAGAGGACAGAGTTAGATGGGATATTGGGAATAAATTCTTCCCTGCCGGAGGGCAGAGTTAGATGGGATATTGGGAATAAATTCTTCCCTGCAAGAGGACAGAGTTAGATGGGATATTGGGAATAAATTTCCCACTGCCAGAGGACAGAGTTAGATGGGATATTGGGAATAAATTTCCCACTGCCAGAGGGCAGAGTTAGATGGGATATTGGGAATAAATTTCCCACTGCCAGAGGGCAGAGTTAGATGGGATATTGGGAATAAATTCATCTCTGGAACAGTGGCGAGGTCCTGGGATGAAATTCCCAGAGAGGCTGTGGCTGCCCCTGGATCCCTGGAAGTGCCCAAAACCAGGTTTAAACAACCTGGCATAGTGAGAGGTGTCCCTCTCCATGGCATGGGGTGGGACTGGATGGGATTCAAGCTTTTTAAGGATTTGGTGACAAAACTTCAGCTTCCCTGAGTCCCCTGTTGAACCATCCTTTGTCAAGATCCTCCTGGATAATGTGGGGTCTTGCCCTGATCCCCACTTCAGGCAGGTAGATATTCCCCTAAGAGCCACTAACCCCCAAGGAATGTGTGAAATGCCTTTTCCTGCCTTTTTTTTTTGCCCAGGAAACGTGGTACTGGCACGGGGACGTCAGCGCCGACGACGTGGTGATGAGCGGGGTGAAGTGCTCGGGGACAGAGATGTCCCTGTCCCACTGCCGGCACGACGGCGCCCACGTGTCCTGCCCCAGGGGAGGGGGACGCTTCGGGGCCGGCGTGTCCTGCTCCGAGAGTGAGTGACCGGGATCCGGCCCCCGGGCAAGGGGGATGTGCAGGGGAACGGGGGGACCTGGATACGTCAAAACAACGCGGAATTTTAACTCCCTGAGAGGTTCTGGCTGTGGCTGCCCCGGCCCTGGGAGTGTCCAAGGGCAGCTTGGAGCGAGCTGGGATTGTGGAAGGTGTCCCTGCCTGTGGTGGGGTGGGGTGGGATGGGATCCATGGGATGGGATGGGATGGGATGGGATTCATGGGATTCATGGGATTCATGGGATTCATGGGATTCATGGGATGGGACGGGATTCATGGGATGGCATGGGATGGGATTCATGGGATTCATGGGATTCATGGGATTCATGGGATGGGATCCATTGGATGAGATCCATGGGATGGAATCCATGGGATGGAATGGGATGGGATGGGATCCATTGGATGGAATGGGATGGGATGAGATCCATGGGATGGGATTCATGGGATGGGATCCATGGTATCCATGGGATGGGATTCATGGGATCCATGGGATGGGATCCATGGGATGGGATCCATGGGATGCGATGGGACGGGATCCATGGGATGGAATCCATGGGATCCATGGGATGGGATCCATGGGATGGGATGGGATGGCACGGCACAGCACAGCATGGCACGGCATGGCATTGCATGGCATGGGATTTAAGGTCAACTACTCCCATATGGTCAATGGTTCCCCCCCAGGCTTTTCCTACTCAAACTCAAGAGTAGGATTAATTTGGATATTCAGGAGAAATTGTTCTTTTTGAGAGTGGCGAGGGAACTTGATCAGGAGCTGGAATTATGGGATAAGGAGGAATGGCTTCCTACTGCCAGAGGACAGGGTTGGAGGGAATACTGGGAATAAATTCTGCCCTGGGGCTGTGGTGAGGTCCTGGGATGGAATTCCCAGAGGAGCTGTGGTTGTCCCATCCCTGGAAGTGTCCAAGGCTAGCTTGGAGCCACCTGGGACAGTGGAAGGTGTCCCTGACCATGGCAGGGGGTGGAATGGGATGGGATTTAAGGTCCATATTCCCATATGGTGAATTGTTCCCCACCAGGCTTTTCCTGCTCAAACTCAGAGTAGGATTAGATTGGATATTCAGGAGAAATCCTTCCCTGGGAGGGTGGGGAGGGGCTGAAATGGAGTCTCTATAGAAGCTGTGGCTGCCCCATCCCTGGAAATGTCCAAGGCCAGGTTGGACAGGGCTTGGAGCAACCTGGGATAGTGGGAGGTGTTGGGGCTGGAAGTGCCTGATCTTTAAAACCCCTTCCCAGCCAAACCATTTCATGACCCTCCAATTAGCACTGAGTGAGTCTGATTAGCATTCCATGTCAGGTCATTCCATGGCCTCTGATTAGCATTGAGTGAGCCTGAGGAGCTCGGTGGCAGAACCATCCTGCACCTCCAGCAGCCACTTTCATATTGGAATATCACCAATATTATGGACAGGACGTGTCTGAGCTTGTCTGGCCCTTGGTGCTGAACCAAACAGCAGCACTGGGGTGTTTCCCCCCACAGACACTTTGGGCTGCCTGGGTGTGTGGTGTTTCACCCCACAGACACTTTTGCCTGCCTGGGTGTGTGGTGTTTCACCCCACAGACACTTTGGGCTGCCTGGGTGTGTGGTGTTTCACCCACAGACACTTTGGGCTGCCTGGGTGTGTGGTGTTTCACCCCACAGACACTTTTGCCTGCCTGGGTGTGTGGTGTTTCACCCCACAGACACTTTGGGCTGCCTGGGTGTGTGGTGTTTCACCCCACAGACACTTTGGGCTGCCTGGGTGCTGCAGCTGGGCCCTGCAGACAAGTCCAGGCCTGCAGGAGCTCTGGTGCTGCTGGGATGGAGCTTCCCCCCATACCAGGGGCTGCCCCTCAGGTTTCCCTCTGTGGAGAAGCTTTCAGGCCATGGTGAAGGAAAGGAGTCGGTTCTGAGGGAGGGTTTGGATCCAGAGCTTTATTCTGGCCCTCAGGCCTCTGAATGCAGCAACCAGCTCCCACAGAACTCCCTGAGCCCGTGGCTGCTGCTCCTTTAACCCCGGGGGAGAGGGGCAGGGAAGGGGCAGGGAGCCACCAAGCAGGGACAGGAGGGGAGGGACAAAGGGACAAAGGACACCTGGATGGCCCAGGGCCCCCCAGGGGTAGAGGGCATCCTTTGGATCTGCCCAATCACTCGAGGCCCTTCTGGAATGCCAGGACTGACAGACAGTGCTGGGAGGGGAAGGAGAGGTGACTGACACACCTGGCAGGGAATTATCAGGGAGGGACCCGAGGTTCTGAGGTAAATTCTGAATCACACCACAACACTTTCGGGGTGATTTTATTTCATTTAAAACCGCCCATCCCTCACTGCAGCCGCCCCTGACCTGGTGCTGAACGCGGAGCTGGTGGAGCAGACGGCCTACCTGGAGGACAGGCCCATGTTCCTGCTGCAGTGTGCCCTGGAGGAGAACTGCCTGGCCAGCTCGGCCCACAACACCTCGCTGACCTCGGGCTACCGGCGCCTGCTGCGCTTCAGCTCCCAGATCCACAACAACGGCCAGTCCGACTTCAGGCCCAAGAACGGCCGCCACGCCTGGGTGTGGCACGACTGCCACCGGTGGGTGCCACACCCGGGCTCCCTGTCACCCTCCAGCCCCTCCTGCTGCCGCGGGGAAATCTTGTCCCAGCTTTGTCCCAGCTTTATCCTGTTTTGTCCCAGCTTTATCCTGGTTTCGTCCCAGTTTTTCCCAGTTTTGTCCCGGTTTTTGTCCTGGTTTTGTCCCAGTTTTGTTCAAATTTTTTCCTGGTTTTGTCCCAATTTTTTCCTGATTTTGTCCTGGTTTTGTCCCAGCTTTGTCCTGGTTTTGTCCCAGTTTTGTCCCAATTTTGTCCTGGTTTTGTCCCAGCTTTGTCCCGGTTTTGTCCCGGTTTTGTCCTGGTTTTGTCCCACCTTTGTCCTGGTTTTGTCATGGTTTTGTCCTGGTTTTGTCCCAGCTTTGTCCCAGTTTGTCCCGGTTTGCCCCTCAGTTTGGTGGTTGTAACCAACATTCCCTGGATTTTGGGAATTCGTTCTTCCTTGGGCTCTTTCTTCATTCAGTTCTTAAGCAGTTCTGAATTAGGCGCTGTCTGTGCCCCGCTCTGAGCTGAGCTTTGCAGCTGGGCCCTGCTGGGTCTCAGTGCAGGGCTCCAGGGCTGGGATGGGCATTCCCAGGTGCCATTTGTGGGGTTTTTGTAGGAATTCAGGCCAGGCCTCCAGTCTGTGCCCGTGGGTGGGGTGGGGGGAATTGTCTGGGTCCAAAAAACAGCCACTGGCACTGGGGAGGAGGGAAAGGAGTGGAATTGTTTCTGTCTGAGCTGTGTGAAATGGAAAATGGGGGCTCAGAGGGACATTTTGGGGCACAGGGGAAGGGGTGGTTGTGGTGAATTAGAGATGGAGCAGCTCTGCTGGGAGCAAAGGCTGAGGGAACTGGGAACGTTCACCTGGAGAGGAGACGGCTTCCAGGAGAGCCCAGAGCCCCTTGCAGGGCCTGAAGGGGGCTCCAGGAGAGCTGGAGAGGGACTGGGGACAAGGGATGGAGGGACAGGCACAGGGAATGGCTCCAAACTGGGAAAAATGAGACTGGGGTGGATTTTTGGAAGGAATGAGTGTGGGGAGGGGCTGGGATGGAATTCCCAGAGGAGCTGGGGCTGTCCCTGGATCCCTGAAGTGCCCAAGGGAGAAGGGAAAGCTCCAGGGAGAGCTCAGAGCCCATTCCAGAGCCTGAAGGGGCTCCAGGAGAGCTGGAGAGGGACTGGGGACAAGGGATGGAGGGACAGGCACAGGGAATGGCTCCAAACTGGGAAAGGGGAGATTTGGGTGGGATATTGGGAAGGAATGAGGGTGGGGAGGGGCTGGGATGGAATTCCCAGAGGAGCTGGGGCTGCCCCTGGATCCCTGAAGGGTCCAAGGTGAGTTTGGAGCACCCTGGGGCAGTGGGAGGTGTCCCTGCCATGACAGGGGTGGCTCTGGATGGGATTTGAATCCCTTCCAACCCAAACCATTCCATGATTTTCTGACACCTGGGAGCTGAGTTTGCACAGACAGGACATGGGAACTCTTCACCCACTACATGCAGGTTACCTGAGCAGTTTCTCACCTGGAAAAGGACCAAAAAAAATGCTGGAATGCTGCATTTTTTTATGCATCTCAACCCCACTAAAACTCAGCAGCTGGGAGGTGTTTTTGCACTTATTTTTGACTAAATTCATCCCATAAATGCATCATTTTTCAAGGAATTAAGACAGTTTTGGGGGAAATTGAGGGGGGAAAGGGAGCTGGAGGCCATCCAGGTGCTTTGCTGTGAAATGTGGACTGGTACAAGGTGGATTTTTCCCTTATTTGAGGTAAAAGGCAGTGAAATAATTCCATGCACCCCCTGCTCCTCTTCTGCTTAAAAAACTGGGGAAACACCAGAGTGGTAAATTTTAAATCTTAGAGTTCTTTATAATCTTCCCAAAGAGCTGAGATGTGCAGGTAGCACTGTAAAGGGAGAACTTGGAGCAATTTTGGACACAGTGGAAGGGAGGTGGGATGGGAAAGGGTGAGCAAGAGGCCAGGAACCATCTGTGCTCCAAACTGGACCCAGTTTAGATGGACAGGGATGAACTCAATCCCTCTTCAATCTTTTCCAGTCTGTGAACAGCAGAGTGTAAACATCCCAGGGAGTGACTCAGGCATAGCTCAGAAACTGAGTCAGGCTCGAGAAGCTCAAACTTGCATTGAATTCATTGATTTGAGCCAAATCTGCCTCAAATCAACAGCTCGGCCTTGGCCTTGGGCCTCTGCTCTGCCTCCTGCCCTGGGAGCTCCTGTTTGGATGTGGAAGTAGAGTAAAAACGGGAAAGACCCCAAGCAGGGAGTGAAAAATGATTTCATTTTTCATTCTGGCAGATGGCAATTTCTGGATTTTTTTTTCTTGTTTTTAGTGAGGGGAAACACAGGAAAAATTTCCTCCCCTTCCCTCTCTGCTCATGCCCCATCTGTAAATCCTGTGAGCAATGATGGTTATTGGAAGTGTTTCAGCCTTGATTATTTTTACAGCTGGAAAGGAGTGGATTTATGCCCATTTTTCTTCTTTTTTTTTTTCCTCTTTTTTTTCTTTTTTGTTTTTAATTCTTAAGCAATTGGTCTGAGTTAGGCCCTGTCTGTGCCTCGCTCTGAGCTGAGCTTTGCAGCTGGGCCCTGCGTGGGGGGTCTCAGTGCAGGACTCCAGGGCTGAGATGGACATTCCCAAAGCTGGGATAGGCATTCCCAGTGCTGGGATACCCATTCCCAGTGCTGGGATAGACATTCCCAAAGCTGGGATAGGCATTCCCAGTGCTGGGGTGGGCATTCCCAAAGCTGGGATCGGCATTCCCAGTGCTGGGATAGACATTCCCCAAATCTGGGTTACACATTCCCAAAGGTGGAATACGAGATACAGAATCCCAGAGCTGGAATACACATTCCCAAAGCTGGGATAGACATTCCCAGTGCTGGGATGGGCATTCCCAGTGCTGGGATGGGCATTCCCAAAGCTGGGATAGACATTCCCAAAGCTGGGATCAGCATTCCCAGAGCTGGGATTCCCATTCCCAAAGCTGGGTTACACATTCCCAAAGCTGGGATAGACATTCCCAAAGCTGGGACAGGCATTCCCAAAGCTGGGATAGGCATTCCCAGTGCTGGGATGGGCATTCCCAGTGCTGGAATACACATTCCCAAAGCTGAGATAGGCATTCCCAATGCTGGGTTACACATTCCCAAAGCTGGGTTACACATTCCAAAGGTGGAATACGAGATACAGAATCCCAGAGCTGGAATACACATTCCCAAAGCTGGGATTAGGCATTCCCAAAGTTGGGATACCCATTCCCAAAGCTGGGATAGGCATTCCCAAAGCTGGAATACACATTCCCTAAACTAGGACAGACATTCCCAAAGCTGGGATAGACATTCCCAGTGCTGGGATAGACATTCCCAAAGCTGGGTTATACATTCCCAAAGCTGGAATACCCATTCCAAAAGCTAGAACAGACATTCCCATAGCTTTGACAGGCATTCCCAAAGCTGGGATGGACATTCCCAGTGCTGGGATAGACATTCCCAAAGCTGGTATAGGCATTCCCAAAGCTGGGACAGACATTCCCAAAGCTGGGATAGGCATTCCCAAAGCTGGGATTCCCATTCCCAAAGCTGGGATTCCCATTCCCAAAGCTGGGACAGACATTCCCAAAGCTGGGATCGGCATTCCCAAAGCTGGGATAGGCATTCCCAAAGCTGGGATCAGCATTCCCAAAGCTGGGATTCCCATTCCCAAAGCTGGGGTGACACAGAGTGGTTTCAGGTCCCACTCCAGTTGTCTCCCTGCTCCCTCATTCCCTGGATTTGCTCCCAGTTCCAAGGCTGGGCTCAAATCCAAGGGGTTGCATCAGCATCACCCACTCTGCTGTGCCCAGCCCTGACCACGTGCAGTCCAGCTGGGCTAAAGCTCAGCTTAACTCTCTGCTGAGCCAGCAGTGGGGCTTAAAAAACCCAATGTCCCCAGAGTGCAATCTCACCCAAACCCTGCTGGGTCTGGCTTTGCTAATCAGGGATCTAAACACGGACTCTGGGCTCTCTCCTGACTTTTTTTGCTGGAATGTTCCCCAGGCTGGGCTGACAAATCCCAGTTTAAAACCAGGAAGTGTCTCCCCGGTGAAAACCCAGCTCTGAGCAGGGTGAAAGAAGCTGCTCCAGCTGTTGTTGTTTTTTGCTGATAAATTCACATTCTGCTGCTTAAAAAGTTAATCACTAAAAGCAGCCAGGTCTTGGCAGAGCCAGCTCTGTGTGAAATATTCCTGGGAAATGATGGGGCTGCTCCAAGGAATGATTTTTTTGGTGGATTCTTTGCCCTTCCTGTCACTATAAAACATTGTGATCCCACAAAAGTTGGAGCAAGGGACTTAATAAATGTCCCAGGCCAGGTTGGACAGGGCTTGGAGCAACCTGGGATAGGGGGAGGTGTCTCTGCCATGGACAGGGACAAAATGATCCTTAATCCCTCCCCACGCAACCAGTCTGGGATTAGATGTAAATAAATCCCAGGAGACAGCGGGATGGGTGATGGAACCACACAGGATCGTCCCCAGGGAATATTTCCTGGGAATTTTCCTCCCCACCCAACCAGTCTGGGACTAGATGTAAATAAATCCCAGGAGGCAGCGGGATGGGTGATGGAGCCACACAGGATCATCGCCAGGGAATATTTCCTGGCTGGAGTTGTGCCATTCCTGCAGCTCCACTTGGCCTTTCAGCCCTGGTAATTAAAGGGCAATTAATTAGAGGGGTAACTTAATGATCCCTGGGGATAATTGTCCCTGTCTGTCCCCACAGGCACTACCACAGCATGGAGGTGTTCACCCACTACGACCTCCTGAACCTCAATGGCACCAAGGTGGCCGAGGGACACAAGGCCAGCTTCTGCCTGGAGGACACTGAGTGCGAGGCAGGTCTGTGCCAGGGCCCCGTGTCCCGGGAATTCCGTCCCCTTCCCAAGGAGGTGACAGCTCCTGAGGGATGAGCATGGCCTGGCAGGAGCCAGGAACCAGCCCTGGATGGATGGATGGATGGATGGATGGATGGATGGATGGATGGATGGATGGATGATGGATGGATGGATGGATGGATGATGGATGATGGATGGATGGATGGATGGATGGATGGATGGATGGATGGATGATGGATGGATGGATGGACGGACAGATGCATGGATGGATGGATGGATGACGGATGGATGGATGATGGATGGATGGATGGATGGATGGATGGATGGATGGGGATGGATGGATGGATGGATGGATGGGGATGGATGGATGGATGGATGGATGGATGGATGGATGGATGGATGGATGGATGGATGGATGGATGAGGGATGGATGGATGGATGATGGATGGATGGATGGATGGATGGATGGATGGATGGATGATGGATGGATGGATGATGGATGGATGGATGGATGATGGATGGATGGATGGATGGATGGATGATGGATGGATGGATGATGGATGGATGGATGATGGATGATGGATGGATGGATGGATGATGGATGGATGATGGATGATGGATGATGGATGGATGGATGGATGGATGGATGGATGGATGATGGATGATGGATGGATGGATGGATGGATGGATGGATGGATGATGGATGGATGGATGGATGGATGGATGATGGATGGATGGATGGATGGATGGATGGATGGATGGATGGATGGATGATGGATGGATGGGTGGATGGATGGATGGATGATGGATGATGGATGGATGGATGGATGGATGGATGGATGGATGGATGGATGGATGATGGATGGATGGATGATGGATGGATGGATGATGGATGGATGGATGGATGGATGGATGGATGGATGATGGATGGATGGATGGATGGATGGATGGATGGATGATGGATGGATGATGGATGGATGATGGATGGATGGATGGATGGATGATGGATGATGGATGGATGGATGGATGGATGGATGGATGGATGGATGGATGGATGGATGATGGATGATGGATGGATGGATGATGGATGGATGGATGGATGGATGGATGGATGGATGGATGGATGGATGAATGGATGGATGGATGATGGATGGATGGATGGATGGATGGATGGATGGATGGATGATGGATGATGGATGGATGGATGGATGATGGATGGATGGATGGATGGATGATGGATGGATGATGGATGGATGGATGATGGATGGATGGATGGATGGATGATGGATGGATGGATGGATGGATGGATGATGGATGGATGGATGGATGGATGGATGATGGATGGATGGATGATGGATGACGGATGGATGGATGGATGGATGGATGGATGATGGATGGATGGATGGATGATGGATGGATGGATGGATGGATGGATGATGGATGGATGGATGATGGATGGATGGATGGATGGATGATGGATGGATGGATGGATGATGGATGGGATGGATGATGGATGGATGGATGGATGGATGGATGATGGATGGATGGATGGATGGATGGATGGATGGATGATGGATGGATGGATGGATGGATGGATGATGGATGGATGGATGATGGATGGATGGATGGATGGATGATGGATGGATGGATGGATGATGGATGGATGGATGGATGGATGGATGATGGATGGATGGATGATGGATGGATGGATGATGGATGGATGGATGGATGGATGGATGGATGGATGGATGATGGATGATGGATGATGGATGGATGGATGGATGGATGATGGATGGATAGATGATGGATGGATGGATGATGGATGGATGGATGGATGGATGGATGGATGGATGGATGGATGGATGATGGATGGATGGATGGATGGATGGATGGATGGATGATGGATGGATGGATGATGGATGGATGGATGGATGGATGGATGATGGATGGATGGATGGATGGATGATGGATGGATGGATGGATGGATGGATGGATGGATGATGGATGGATGGATGGATGGATGGATGGATGGATGATGGATGGATGATGGATGATGGATGGATGGATGGATGGATGGATGGATGATGGATGGATGGATGGATGGATGGATGGATGATGGATGATGGATGGATGGATGGATGGATGGATGGATGGATGATGGATGGATGGATGGATGGATGATGGATGGATGGATGGATGGATGGATGGATGATGGATGGATGGATGATGGATGGATGGATGGATGGATGATGGATGGATGGATGGATGGATGGATGGATGGATGGATGATGGATGGATGGATGGATGGATGATGGATGATGGATGGATGATGGATGGATGGATGTGATGGATGATGGATGGATGGATGGATGGATGGATGGATGGATGGATGGATGATGGATGGATGGATGGATGGATGGATGGATGGATGGATGGATGATGGATGGATGGATGGATGGATGGATGGATGGATGGATGGATGGATGGATGATGGATGGATGGATGATGGATGGATGATGGATGGATGATGGAGGGATGGATGGATGGATGATGGATGGATGGATGGATGATGGATGGATGGATGGATGGATGGATGGATGGATGATGGATGATGGATGATGGATAGAGGATGATGGAATAGATCAATGGGATGGATGAATGGATGCATGGATGGGATCCCCCCATATTCCCCATTCTCTTTTCCACCCTCAGCTTCCTCCATCCCAGCTCTGAGCTGCTCCAGAACCCCAAATTCTTCATTTTCTGCTCCAGAACCCCAAATTGTTCATTTTCTGCTCCCCACCCAGTGAGGAATTCCAAAAGAAGCCTCCGGCTGCTGAGAGGTGGCAGCTCCTTAAATCTCATCCAAAACACCACCCCTGGAGTTTATCCCTGTCCATGGGGAACAAGCAGGAATTTCCTGGGAATTCTGCTGCGGATTTGACACTTTTTGCCTGGATTCTCCTCCTCTAGACGTGCAGAAGCAGTACGAGTGTGCCAATTTTGGGGAGCAGGGGATCACCGTGGGCTGCTGGGACGTTTATCGGCACGACATCGACTGCCAGTGGATCGACATCACCGACGTCCCCCCCGGGGATTACCTCTTCCAGGTGGGACAGACGGATTTGGGACACCCCTGCTGCTTTTATCCCACCAATCAGATCCAGAATTCACCAAATTGGTTCATTTGACACACCCAGCTTCTGTTTATAAAGGGATTTTATTCCAAGATGCCTTAAAGATAAAGGATTATCCACCAGGATAATCACACAAGGGAAAAATCAGGGCCCATGAGCACAGTTTGGAGATGAAAGTCTTACAAAAAATCCATGTCCAGCTAATCCTGGATAGGCCCAGCCCAGCTGATGTTGTTGTCAGTGTTGTCACCCCCCCAAAGCACAGCACCCCTCTTTGGAGCTGGTGTAAGCAGCATTCCCTGAATTTTGGGATTCCCAGGTGCCGGTTTTGGGGTTTTTGTAGGAATTTGGGCCGGGCCCATGGGGGGAATTGTCTGGGTCTAAAAACAGCCCCTGGCACTGGGGAGGAGGGAAAGGAGTGGAATTGTTTCTGTCTGAGCTGTTTGAAATGGAAAATGGGGGTTTGGAGGGACATTTTGGGGCACAGGGGAAGGGGTGGTTGTGGTGAATTAGAGATGGAGCAGCTGGGCTGGGAGGAAAGGCTGAGGGAACTGGGAACGTTCACCTGGAGAGGAGACGGCTCCAGGAGAGCCCAGAGCCCCTTGCAGGGCCTGAAGGGGCTCCAGGAGAGCTGGAGAGGGGCTGGGGACAAGGATGGAGGGACAGGACACAGGGAATGGCTTCAAACAGGGAAAAATGAGACTGGGGTGGATTTTTGGAAGGAATGAGGGTGGGGAGGGGCTGGGATGGAATTCCCAGAGGAGCTGGGGCTGCCCCTGGATCCCTGGGAGTGCCCAAGGGAGAAGAGAAAGCTCCAGGGAGAGCTCAGAGCCCATTCCAGAGCCTGAAGGGGCTCCAGGAGAGCTGGAGAGGGGCTGGGGACAAGGATGGAGGAACAGGACACAGGGAATGGCTCCCACTGGAAAAGGGGAGATTTGGGTGGGATATTGGGAAGGAATGAGCGTGGGGAGGGGCTGGGATGGAATTCCCAGGGAGCTGGGGCTGCCCCTGGATCCCTGAAGGGTCCAAGGTGAGTTTGGAGCACCCTGGGACAGTGGGAGGTGTCCCTGCCATGACAGGGGTGGCTCTGGATGGGATTTGAATCCCTTCCAACCCAAACCATTCCATGATTTTCTGACACCTGGGAGCTGAGTTTGCACGGACAGGACATGGGAACTCTTCACCCACCCACCAGGTGAGCAGTTTCTCACCTGGAAAAGGAACCAAAAATGCTGGAATTCTGCCAGGGAAGCCAGGGAATGGCTTCCACTGCCAGAGGGCAGGGATGGATGGGATTTGGGGATGGAATTCCCAGGGAGCCGTGGCTGCCCCTGGATCCCTGGCAGTGCCCAAGGCCAGGCACTGGGACAGTGGGAGGTGTCCCTGCCCTGCCAGGGGTGGCTCTGGGTGGGATTTCAGGTCCCTTCCCACCCCAACCATCCCAGGATTCCCTGACTGAGCCTTTATTCCCTGACCTGCCTTTATTCACCTCATTCCTCTCCCTTTTCAAAACAAATCCCATTTCCATTTTCTGCTAAAAAAAATGCCGTAAAAAACAACTGATTCTACCAAATCCTCCTTACAACAACCCCACCCCTGTCCCTCCACCCCTCCCAGGTGGTGATCAACCCCAACTATGAGGTGGCAGAGTCGGATTATTCCAACAACGTCATGAAATGCCGGAGCCGCTACGACGGGCAGCGCATCTGGATGTACAACTGCCACATAGGTGAGGGCTGGCATCCCCCAGGCACGCCCCAAGGATTCCCCTCAGACAAGGAATTTCATGTTTCCCTCCCTTGAAACAATCCCAGTGTCCTGGGAAATTCCTTCTTCACAAAATCCAATTATTCTGCCGAGCTGGGATCTCAGCGGGTCACGAATCTTCTCTTGGAAAACAAACAAAGCGGTGGGAAAGGGAATTCCTGCTGTACCAGGCAGGAATTAAAATGTCCCTGGAATGTCAGGGAAATCTCTGTTTTCTTGGAAAAAGTTAAAATATTATCATTTGGTATTTTTTCTTTTTGGTTGTGGAAATATCAAAGCCAAGCTAATTTAAATTTGGCTTCTTCCATTGTCAAAACCATGGAAAATGGAATTAACTTGGGGGCTTTTTAGGACTGTTTTTACCACAGAAAATGAATTAACACAACTCCCTGCCCAGCTGCAAATAAAACCAGCTTTGAAAATTCCCTTCTTCAAGGAATATTTTTCCTGGAAAAAAAAAAACAATCTCCAGATTTTTCTCATTATTTTCTTGGGATTTTAGCAGAAAATTCTGGTCTTGTGTGTCACATTTCAGACTGTGACCTAGTTCAGGAAAGTGAAGCCCATTCCAGCTGCTGCTGGGCTCTGCAGCTGAGCTGGGAGATAATTCTGGTTGAAAATAAAGGTTTTAACTTTCACTTTGTCCTAATTAGAGAGAAATTAGGGTTCAGTTCTGGTTCAGAGCAGAGCCCTCACACCCTCACAGGCTTTGTTGGGCCTCGCTTTTTATTTTTTATATAAAAATATTTTATATTTTTTTTCACCAAACCAGTGAAATTTGGGTAATTCAGTCCTGCAAATCCACATCCAGCCCTCCTGGGACTCCTGGCTGTGCCAGTTAGGGCAAGATTTAATTAACACTTCATTAATTAACCCCAAACCTTTAAGCCCTTCATTTCCAGGGCACTGGTTCCAGCCAGTCCCAGTGTTCCAAAGTGCTTTTCCCTGCTCACCCTGTGCTCTCCTGGTGCTCCCCAGGGTTTTTCCCTGCTCACCCTGCACATTCCCAATGTTCCCAAGGGTTTTTCCCATCTTCTCTCGGTGTTCCCAAGGGTTTTCCCCTCTCCCACTGATCCCAAGGGTTTTTCCCCATGCCCTTCCCGTGTTCCCAAGGGTTTTTCCCTCTCTTGGTGATCCCAAGGGTTTTTCCTGTGCTCTCCCAGTGTTCCTAAGGGTTTTCCCCTCTCCCAGTGTTCCCAAGGGTTTTTCCCACTCCTGGTGTTCCCAATGGTTTTCCCCATGCTCTCCCCATGTTCCAAGTGCTTTTCCCTCTCCCAGTATTCCCAAGTGTTTTCCTTGTGCTCTCCCCATGTTCCCAATGGTTTTTTCCCTCTCCCAGTGATCCCCAATGTTTTCCCTGCACTCTCCTGCTGTTCCCAAGGGTTTTACCTGTGTTCCCAAGTGTTTTTCCCATCCTCTCTCACTGTTCCCAAGGGTTTTTCCCATTCTCTTCCATTGTTCCCAAGTGTTTTTCCCTCTCCCCTGGTGTTCCCAAGGGTTATTCCCATCCTCTCCCCCTGTTCCCAGGTGTTTTTCCCTCTCCTGGTGTTCCCGAGGGTTATTCCCATGCTCTCCTGTGTTCCCAAGGGTTTTTCTCAGGTGTTTTTCTTTCTCCTGGTGTTCCCAAGGGTTATTCCCCCTGTTCCCAGGTGTTTTTCTCTCTCCTGGTGTTCCCAAGTGTTTTTCCCATTCTCTTCCACTGTTCCCAAGGGTTTTCCCCTCTCCCAGTGTTCCCAAGGGTTTTCCCCATGCTCCCCCCCGTGTTCCCAAGTGCTTTTCCCTCTCCCAGTATTCCAAGTGTTTTCCCCATGCTCTCCCCATGTTCCAAGTGCTTTTCCCTCTCCCAGTATTCCCAAGTGTTTTCCCTGCACTCTCCTGCTGTTCCCAAGGGTTTTACCTGTGTTCCCAAGTGTTTTTCCCATCCTCTCCCACTGTTCCCAAGGGTTTTTCCCATTCTCTTCCACTGTTCCCAAATGTTTTTCCCTCTCTCTCCCCTGGTGTTTCCAAGGGTTTTCCCCATTTTCTCCTGGTGATCCCAAGGGTTATTCCCATGCTCTCCTGTGTTCCCAAGGGTTTTCCCAGGTGTTTTTCCCTCTCCTGCTGATCCCAAGGGTTATTCCCATGCTCTCCCCATGTTCCTAAGGGTTTTTCCCTCTCCCAGTGTTCCCAAGGGTTTTTCCTGTGCTCTCCCTGTGTTCCTAAGTGCTTTTCCCTCTCTTGGTGATCCCAAGGGTTTTCCCCCATGCTCCACTGTTGTTCCTAAGTGCTTTTCCTGTGCTCTCTCCATGTTCCCAAGGGTTTTTTCTATGCTCTCCTGGTGTTCCTGGTGTTCCCAAAGGTTTTCCCTGTGCTCTCCCAGTGTTCCCAAGGGTTTTCCCCACTCCTGGTGTTCCCAATGGTTTTCCCCATGCTCCCCCCATTTTCCCAAGGGTTTTTCCCTCTCCCAGTGATCCCCAATATTTTCCCTGCACTCTCCTGCTGTTCCCAAGGGTTTTACCTGTGTTCCCAGGTGTTTTTCCCATTCTCTTCCACTGTTCCCAAGTGTTTTTCCCTCTCCCCTGGTGATCCCAAGGGTTTTCCTCATCTTCTCCTGGTGTTCCCAAGGGTTATTCCCATCCTCTCCCCGTTCCCAGGTGTTTTTCTCTCTCCTGGTGATCCCAAGGGTTATTCCCCCTGTTCCCAGGTGTTTTTCCCTCTCCTGATGTTCCCAAGGGTTTTTCTCAGGTGTTTTTCCCTCTCCTGGTGATCCCAAGGGTTCTTCCCATGCTCTCCTGTGTTCCCAAGGGTTATTCCCAGTATTCCCAGGTGTTTTTCCCTCTCCTGGTATTCCCAAGGGTTATTCCCATCCTCTCCCCGTTCCAAGGTGTTTTTCCCTCTCCTGTGTTCCCAAGGGTTTTCCCAGGTGTTTTTCCCTCTCCTGGTGTTCTCAAGGGTTATTCCCATGCTCCCCTGTGTTCCCAAGGGTTATTCCCAGTATTCCCAGGTGTTTTTCTCTCCCCTGTGTTCCCAAGGGTTATTCCCAGTATTCCCAGGTGTTTTTCCCTCTCTCCAGGTGGTTCCTTCAGCGAGGAGACGGAGCAGAAGTTCGAGCACTTCAGGGGACTCACAAATAACGTCGTCTCTGCCCGGTAGAATTCCCACTAATTTAAGGAAGCCTGGACTCCTGCTCCGGCCCTTCCCAACCACTGCCCCCAGGAAATGGAGCCTCCTCCAAGCTCGGAGTTTCAGCCCAATCCCTCCTCAAGGAGCCTCTCCCTCCCCACTTTAGGTGCTCAGGCCGCCCCTCGGTGCCTCCTGCAATTCCAGCTCTCCTCAGCTCCAGCTCTTCACCATTCCAAAGGTTCCTCCCACGTTTTGCAGCACTCCTCGTCTCAGGGTGGCTGCCAGCCACCCAAAAGTGCCTTTATCCTTCATTTCCAAGGCATTCTTTGGGAATTTCCAGCTCTTTTCCACTCCCAGTGCCTGTTTGTGCTGCTGCTTCCTGCACCTCTCCTCAGCACTGACTCCAGTTCAGCAAGGAAACGGAAGGAAAGGAAAAACTTTAAAAAAACCAACCAAAAAAACCACCAAAAACAGGAAAAAAAGGAGCAGCTTTTTGTGAGCAGAACAGTGAAAAGCTGAATTTAATACTGCAGTGAAAACGCTTGGATCCAACAACGGCCACGCTCCGGAGGGGAGCAAACGCAGAACCTGGAATCTCACAGGGAATTTTCAATTTCACAGGGAATTTCATATGGAATCTCACAGGGAATTTTCAATTTCACAGAGAATTTCACAGGGAATTTTTCAATTTCGCAGAGAATTTCACAGGGAATTTTCAATTTCGCAGAGAATTTCACAGGGAATTTTCAGTTTCACAGGGAATTTCATATGGAATCTCACAGGGAATTTCATATGGAATCTCACAGGGAATTTTCAATTTCATAGGGAATCTCATATGGAATCTCACAGGGAATTTTCAATTTCACAGGGAATTTCATATGGAATCTCACAGGGAATCAAAGCTCTCTGAAGTGCCCCAGAACTCAGCAGATCCCCAGGGATGAGGCCCCTGGGCTGGGAATTCCCATCCCACAGGGATCCCCCCACCCACCAGGAATCGCCTCCTGGCCGGACATTCCATCTTTTTTTGCAAGGATGAATCATCCTTGTGCACCTTGCAGAGGGAATTTCTGCCTCTCATCCCCAAGGATCTGCTCCTGTGGGAATTCCTCTGTTTGTCTGAGGACACACAGAGCTCCAATAAAAACCTTTTCCCTGGGAAAAAAAAAAATATATATATATCTATCTATCACTTTAGAAGCCCTTGGTGTATTTTCTCCTCACAATTCATGGAAGTATGGGGGTTTTTCCCCCCTCTCCTACATCAAAGTTACCTGGAATTCCACAGGGAATTCCAAACTTCCCCCAAAACCCCACCCCACAGGGGCTTAAAAATGCAGAAATATTTTGAGTATTTGTCATTTCTCCAGTGCTCCAGAGGGCACTGGGTTTTAACCTCCTGGCAATTGGAAAATTCCAGTTTTTCCCCAGAATTCCAGACTGGAGCAGGAGCAGAGCCTGGGATGGGGGTGGAAGCTCATTTTAAACCCAGTTCTGGGCACATCAGCACAGGCAAATTCTGGAGTTTTTTTCCCTAATGAGCAAATTTTCCCTAATGAGGTTTTCTTCCTCACCAACAGGGAACTTTCAGGCTCTTGAAACTCTGTAAAGAAGGAAAAAATTCCCTAAAACTTGGATTCACTGCCTGTCAGTTTTCTGGGATATCAGAACAGCAACATCACAACAAACTTGGAACAGATTTTTTCTGTTAACTTCTGTTAACTCCTTGCTTGGAGTTAATTTTTGGCCCCCCAAAAAAAAACAAAAAATCCCAATTTTCTTAACTCTTAATGCCTATTTTTTGTTGGAAAACAGAGCAAGAATAAGGACTGAAGAAACCCCCTCATTCCTGCAGCTGCCCCAAAGGCTCTGGAAGCCCCAGCACAGAACCCCAGCACTGCCAGGGCTCCAAAAAACCCCAATGAGAATTCCCAGGCCAGGAACAGCCCCTGCCCTGCATGCATTCAACAGCACAGCCAAGCTCATCCTGACGGCCTTGGCCTTGGTTTTGGGGTTTTTTGGGATTATTCCTCCTGCTCCAAGGATTCTGGCTGGAAATCTTCGCTCCCCACGGGCTCCTGCTGCCGCTGCCTCCAGCCCAGGGCGTGGGACAGGAGCCTCCTGGCCACGGCCGTGTCCGTCTGCGGCCTCTCCTTCCCCAGCTGGAGCAGCTCTAGGGAAAGATGGAAAACAAATTTACCCACTGGGGCAGGGGCAGGGAGGAATTGGTGCTTAAATCCCCCAAAATCAGCTTTTTTCCCTGCTGTTTTCTTCGTTTATTGACATCCAATCTTTCTGTCTCGGTGGATAAATTGGGATTTTTTTTTTTTCAGGGTTAAGGAATTCCACGTTTTTCACGGGATTGTTTGGTGGCCATCAAGGTTCAGGGCTCTTGTGCTGGGTGGGAAATTGTTGCCCATCCTCTTATTCCTGGCAAAATTCCCAACATCCCATCCCTGTGAATTGGAAAAATTCCCAACATCCCATCCCTTTCCACACCTGGAAAAACCCAGGCCATTTATCCATTTATCCATTTATCCATTTATCCATTTATCCATTGAAACTCCTCAAAACCAGCTGCCAAAATCCTTGGAAAATAACAACAAAAATCTGCATTTAAAATGATATCTGAATATTTCAGATAATTTGGGAAGCCCCTTGGTCATTTTTTGGATTGCTCCAATTCCATCTGCAAGGAAATCCACCAAAATGTCACCAACTCCACCATAATTTGGATTTGGGGATTAATTCATTAATCCTTTATCAATTTGAAGTTGTTATCTACACAGCAAAGGGGGGGGACTTTGTTTTTCCAGAAGTTTCATTCATTAAGGAAAAAAAAAATTAAGAAAAATTTTTCAAAGAGACACTGTCAGCTAATTCAAATCCAAATTTGTGTTTGGAAAATAATCAATTGAAACTAGATGCCAACAGAATTAATTGTTATATTTCATTGTTAATTAATTAAATAATTAATTAATAATAATTAAAAATTAAAAATAATTCTATTTTATTTTAACCTGATTCAGAAGAGTGAATAAATGAAAAAAAAAAGATGAAGGGGAGATGCAAATAAACCAAAATTTTGGATCTTTCCTTTAAATCCAGCAGTGCTGAACCTCAGGAATTTGTTCCTGTGCCTGTGTCCCTTTAAAGCATCAAAATTGGAATTTATTCTGACTGCAGTGAGCTGGAAAAACCCAGGAATTGTTGGTTCAGAGTCTCTGCTGCTGCTGAGGTTCATGGCTTTGCTTTCCTGTGGCAACTGGACCTGATCAATCTGATTGAAAGGCAATGAAATCAATCAATCAACCAATCAATAATTGATCAATCAATCCATGGTAATCAATCAACTGATGTTCATGGCTCAGCTTCACCATTTCTACTTCCTGAATAAAATTATGCCAACCACAAGATTGGGTTTGTCTCCTTTGGATTGCCAGGGGGAGAGGGAAGAGAAAATTCCTGGGGAATTCGATGGCAAAAAAATCCCAATTCCAGCACAACCCTTCCCTTCCAGCTGCCCAAAATCGCAGCAAATTGCACCAAAAAAAATTAAATTAAATCTGAATTCCAGCAAAACTCCACAGCTCAGTGCCAAGAAATCCATAAAAAACCCATTCAGAATGAAAAATAATTGGTCCTGAGTGTGAATTTTCTCATGAATTTGTCATCTGGGCCAGGGAGGAGTGGGAAATGCAGGAGAAATGGGGTGGATTTGGGGAATCCAGGGGAATTGGGGTGGATTTGGGGAAATGCAGAAATGGGGTGGATTTGGGGAAATGCAGGAGAAATGGGGTGGATTTGGGGAATTCCAGGGGAATTGGGGTGGATTTGGGGAATCCAGGGGAATTGGGGTGGATTTGGGGAAATGCAGGAGAATTGGGGTGGATTTAGGGAATCCACGGGAGGTGGGGTGGGTTTAGGGAAATGCAGGAGAAGGGAGGTGGATTTAGGGAGATCCAGGGGAATTGGGGTGGATTTAGGGAAATGCAGAATTGGGGTGAATTTGGGGAAATCCAGAAGTGGGGTGGATTTAGGAAATCCAGAGGTGTGGGGTGGGTTTAGGGAAATGCAGGGGAATTGGGGTGAATTTAGGGAAATCCAGGAGAACTGGGATGGGTTTAGGGAAATCCAGGAGAAGGGGGGTAGATTTGGGAAATGCAGAAGTGGGGTGGGCTCGGGGAATTGGGGTGGGTTCAGGGAATTCCAGGAGCAGTGGGGTGGGTTCAGGGAATCCCATGGGAGCTGGGGTGGGCTCAGGGAATTCCATAAGAATTGGGGTGGGCTCAGGGAATCCCAGGAGAGCTGGGGTGGGCTCAGGGAATTCCAGGAGAAGGGGGGTGGATTTGGGAAATGGAGAAGTGGGGTGGGCTGAAAGAATTCCAGGGAAATTGGGGTGGGCTCAGGGAATTCCATGGGAGCTGGGATGGGCTCAGGGAATCCCAGGGGAATTGGGGTGGGCTCAGGGAATTCCAGGAGCAGTGGGGTGGGTTGAGGGAATCCCAGGGGAATTGGGGTGGATTTAGGAAATTCCATGGGAATTGGGGTGGGTTCAGGGAATCCCAGGAGAACTGGGGTGGGTTGAGGGAATTCCATGGGAGCTGGGGTGGATTCAGGGAATCCCATGGGAACTGGGGTGGGCTCAGGGAATTCCATGGAAATTGGGGTGGGTTGAAGGAATTCCATGGGAATTGGGGTGGGCTCAGGGAATTCCAGGGGCGCTGGGGTGGGCTCAGGGAATTCCAGGAGCAGTGGGGTGGGCCCAGGGAATCCCAGGGGAATTGGGGTGGGCCCAGGGAATTCCATGGGAACCGGGGTGGGCTCAGGGAATCCCAAGGGAACCAGGTGGGCCCAGGGAATTCCAGGGAAATTGGGGTGGGCTCAGGGAACCCCAGGGGAACCAGGTGGGCCCCGGGAATCCCAAGGGAACCGGGTGGGCTCAGGGAATCCCAAGGGAATTGGGGTGGGCTCAGGGAACCCCATGGGAGCCGGGTGGGCCCAGGGAATCCCAAGGGAACCGGGTGGGCTCAGGGAACCCCAGGGGAATTGGGGTGGGCCCAGGGAATCCCAGGGGAATTGGGGTGAGTTCAGGGAATCCCAAGGGAACCGGGTGGGCCCAGGGAATCCCAGGGGAACCGGGTGGGCCCAGGGAATCCCAAGGGAACCGGGTGGGCCCAGGGAACCCCAAGGGAACTGGGTGGGCTCAGGGAATTCCAGGGGAACCGGGTGGGTTCAGGGAACCCCAGGGGAATTGGGGTGGATTCAGGGAATTCCATGGGAACCGGGGTGGATTCAGGGAATCCCAAGGGAATTGGGATGGGCCCAGGGAACCCCAGGGGTGCTGGGGTGGGCTCAGGGAGTTCCATGGGAACCGGGTGGGCTCAGGGAGTTCCATGGGAACCGGGTGGGCTCAGGGAACCCCAGGGGAACCGGGTGGGCTCAGGGAATCCCAAGGGAACCGGGTGGGCCCCGGAGCTGCTCCTCACTCACTTGGTCTCTGCAGGGCCCTGACCTTGGCCTGTTTGCTGGCGTGGAGCAGGGGCCGGATCTTCAGGCAGGGGTAGCGGCGGCCCAGGGCCTGCGAGGCTGCGGGGACACAAAAGGGCTGGGATGAACCCAAAATTCCAATCACGCTGGGCTGGAACCCTGGGGACATTCCCTGCCTGGCCTGAGATGTCCTGAGCCCCAGGGGAAAATTTCTGTCCATGGAGAAAAATTCCAAGAGTTTGGGATGAACGGGAATTCGAGTGTGTGAATGGTGGAGTCAGCACAGGGTGAGAAACCTGGGGCTTTAATGTGGAAAAAGAAGTTTAGTATAGAAAAAGAAGTTTAGTATGGAAAAAAAAGCATAATATGGAAAAAATGGAGTATGGAAAAAATGGAGTATGGAAAAAAAGTGTAGTATGGAAAAAAAGTGTAGTATGGAGGAAAGAGAAGTTTAACATGGAAAAAAAACTTTAGGATGGAAGAAAAAGTTTAGTATGGAGGCAGAAGTTTAGTATGGAGGAAAAATTCAGTATGCAGGAAAAAGTTTAGTGTGGAAGGAAAAGTTTGGGATGGAAAGAAAAGTTTAGTGTGGGGGGAAAAAGTTTATGATGGAAGAAAAAGTTTAGGATGGAGGAAAAAGTTTAATGTGGAAGAAAAAGTTTAGTATGGAAAAAATTTCAGTATGGAAAAAGTTTTGTGCGGAGGAAAAATTCAGTATGGAGGAAAAAGTTGAGTGTGGAAGAAAAAGTTTAGGATGAAAAAGAAAAGTTTAGTGTGGAGGAAAAGGTTTAGTGTGAAAAAAAAGTCCAGTGTGGAGGAAGAAGTTTAGGATGGAGGAGAAAAGTTTAGTGTGGAAAAAGTTTTTAGAATGGAAGAAAAAGTTTAGTAGGGAAGAAAAAGTTTAGGATGGAAAGAAAAGTTTAGCATGGAAGAAAGAATTGAGTAGGGAAAAAAAATTCAGGATGGAAGAAAAAGTTTAGGATGGAGGAAAAAGTTTAGTATGGAGGAAAAATTCAGTATGGAAATATGGAGGAAAAAGTTTAGTGTGGAAGGAAAAGTTTAGGATGGAAAGAAAAGTTTGGTGTGGGGGAAAAAAGTTTAGGATGGAAGAAAAAGTTTAATGTGGGAGAAAAAGTTTAGGATGGAAAAAAAATTCAGTATGGAAAAAGTTTAGTGTGGAAGAAAAAGTTTAGGATGGAAAAGAAAAGTTTAGTGTGGAGGAAAAGGTTTAGTGTGAAAAGAAATTCCAGTGTGGAGGAAGAAGTTTAGGATGGAGGAGAAAAGGGCTGGCTCTGAGCTGCACTTGGGGTGTTTGTCCCCCCAAAAAATGAGATTTCCCAGATTTCTGGTGCCATCCCCCTCCCAAAATCCCTGGGAGGGGATTGGAAATTTTTCAAGTCATAAAAGACAAAAAAAAAAAAAAAAAAAAGGAAAAAAAAGTTAATAACCACATTACTATTATTATTATTATTATTATTATTATTATTATTGTTATTGTTATTTGTAATTTCTAAAAATGCACACAGCTGCATCCAAGGCAATTAAAAACCAGGTTCCACAGCCCAGCCCAGAAATTCCAACCTCCCAAAACCCTTCCAGGATGGAAAGGAACAGGGAAAAAAAAATAGAATAAAATAAAAATAAAATAAAATAGAAAAATAAAAAATTAAATTAAAATAAAATGAATAAATAAGAATAAAATAAAATATAAAATTAAATATAAAATATAAAATGAAATTAAAATAAAATAAAATTAAATATAAAATTAAATATAAAATAAAAATAAAATATAAAATAAAAATAAAAATAAAAATAAAAATAAAAATAAAAAAGAAATACAGTAAAAACAAAATAGAAGAAAATAGAAAATAGAAAATAAAATAGAAAATAAAATAAAGCAAAATAAAGCAAAATAAAAATAAAAATAAAATAAAATAAAGCAAAATAAAATAAAATAAAGCAAAAAAAAGCAAAATAAAATAAAATAAAATAAAATAAATAAGAATAAAATAAAATATAAAATGAAATATAAAATATAAAATGAAATATAAAATATAAAATGAAATAAAAATAAAAATAAAATGAGATATAAAATAAAAATAAAAATAAAAATAAAAATAAAATAGAAATAGAAATACAATAAAAACAAAATAGAAGAAAATAGAAAATAGAAAATAAAATAGAAAATAAAATATAGTAAAATAAAGCAAAATAAAAATAAAAATAAAATAAAATAAAATAAAGTAAAATAAAGCAAAATAAAAATAAAATAAAATAAAGTAAAATAAAATAAAGCAAAATAAAATAAAATAAAATAAAGCAAAATAAAATAAAATAAAATAAAGCAAAATAAAATAAAATAAAGCAAAATAAAAATAAAATAAAATAAAATAAAATAAAATAAAATAAAATAAAATAAAACCCCGCTGCCAACCAGTTCAGGGCACTGGGAAGGGGCTGGGCAGCTCTGGGTGCCTCAATCCCACCCCAGTACCTGTGGAGGAGCTGGAGAAGATTCCCAGGGCATGGGTGTCATCCACCCACTGGATTTTGAAGCCACTTTCACTGCAAAAAAAAAAGAATAATTTGAATTAATGTCAAGAAAAACAAAGCCCCAACAAAACCCAGCAGCCCCAGGGGGGGTTTTCAGTGATTTATGGGGTTTCCCAAAGCATTATTCCCATTTTAAATGGGGGAAAGGGCAGGAAAAGGAGGAAAAAAGGAGATTAAATGTGCCCTTTTCGAGGTGAAATTACCCCAAATTCTCCTTTTCCTCTCAAACCCAACCTCAGTTCCAGGCATTGGCTTCCAGCAGCAAAACAGGGACATTCCTGAAGTGCTTCCCAGGCATAAAAATACAAAATAAGAATGGATTTATGAAGGGATTTTGGGGTGAAATCCCATAAAGAGTCAGTGGGAAATGGGAATTTGGAGCAGGAATTCAGAAAGATTCCAGTCCACGTCCCACTGGCTCCATCCTTTCCCAGCTCTGCCCACTCCCAGAGAGTGCAACAAGAAATCTGAGCAAGCACACACAATGCAGGAAGAATTATTTCAATATTATTAACATAGAAATTTAAATCATTAAATAAAAATTATCCTTTCAGTTTTAAAGAATAATTTAAATATAATTTTTAAATGTAATTGATTTGGTTTAATTGATGTGTGGAAGGAATTTTCACAAGTAATCCAGGAATTATCCCAAGAGAGGAACTCAGCTCTGCCCTAAGTGATTAATTATTTAAAATATAGTTTTAAATAATAATAATATAATTTTAAAATGTAATTAATTTGATTTAATTGAAGGGGTTTGTAGAGGGAATTTTCACATCTAGTCCAGGAATTATCCCAAGAGAGGAGGAGGAAAACAGGAGAAGAACTCAGGTCTGCACTCAGTGAAGAATAGTTTAAAATATAGTTTTAAACAAAAATTTAAATATCATTTTAAAATATAATTATTTTGGTTTAATTGAAGGGATTTGTGGAGGGAATTTCCACAACTAATCCAGGAATTATCCCAAAAGAGGAGGAGGAAAACTGGAGATGAACTCAGAGCAGGACCCAGCTCTGCCCTCACTGAAGAATTATTTAAAATATAGTTTTAAATAAAAATTTAAATATCATTTTAAAATATAATTAATTTGGTTTAATTGAAGGGATCTGTAGAGGGAATTTCCATATCTAATCCAGGAATTATCCCAAGAGAGAGGGAGGAAAACAGGAGATGAGCTCAGATCTGCCCTCACTGAAGAATTATTTAAAATACAATTTTAAAGAATAATTTAATTTTAAAACGTAATTAATTTGGTTTAATTGAAGGGGTTTGTAGAGGGAATTTCCACAACAAATCCAGGAATTATCCCAAGAGAGGAAAGCAGGGAAAGGTGCCTTTGACAGAACTCAGGGCTGGACCCAGCTCTGCCTCTAATCCAAGCTCATTCCCCGGATTTCCCAATTTACCCCCAGGGCTGAGCCCTTTTCCTTGGAAATTCTGATGGAATCACCCAGGAACCAACAAAAAATCTCCAAAAAAGCACCGGGATGGAGGCAGGGCACACCTGGCTGTGGGTACGGGGGTGCCACAGCCCTGGGGGAAAGCTGGGCTTTAAACCAGGCCTAAACTGCAGCAAAAGCCTTTGAGGCATACAAAGAGGGAAAGGTGAAACTAAAATCCAGAAATGTAGAGTAAAGCTGGGCTTTAAACCAGGACTAAAATGCAGCAAAAGCCCCATGGAGGCACAGAATGAGGGGAGAAGGTGAAACAAAAATCCAGAATTTGGTTGCCAGAGCCATGGAGTAAAGCTGGGCTTTAAACCAGGACTAAACTGCAGGAAAAGCCCCTTGGAGGCACAGAATGAGGGGAGAAGGTGAAACTAAAATCCAGAAATGTAGAGCAAAGCTGGGCTTTAAACCAGGGGAAAGCTGGGCTTTAAACTGCAGGAAAAGCCCCTTGGAGGGACAGAATGAGGGGAAGGTGAAACTAAAATCCAGAATTTGGGTGCCAGAAATGTGGAGTAAAGCTGGGCTTTAAACAGGACTAAAATGCAGGAAAAGCCTTTAAGGCACACAAAGAGGGGAAGGTGAAACTAAAATCCAGAAATGTGGAGTAAAGCTGGGCTTTAAACCAGGGAAAGCTGGGCTTTAAACTGCAGGAAAAGCTCCTTTGAGGCACAAAAAGAGAGGAAGGTGAAACTAAAATCCAGAATTTGGGTGCCAGAAAGGTGGAGTAAAGCTGAGCTTTAAACTGCAGCAAAAGCCCCTTTGAGGCACAGAATGAGGAGAAGGTGAAACTAAAATTCAGAATTTGGGTGCCAGAGCCATGGGGTAAAGCTGGGCTTTAAACCAGGACTAAACTGCAGGAAAAGCCTTTGAGGCACAGAATGAGGGGAAGGTGAAACTAAAATCCAGAATTTGGGTGTCAGAGCCATGGAGTAAAGCTGGACTTTAAACCAGGCCTAAACTGCAGGAAAAGCCCCTTGGAGGCACACAAAGAGAGGAAGGTGCAACTAAGATTCAGAATTTGGGTGCCAGAGCCATGGAGTAAAGCTGGGCTTTAAACCAGGACTAAACTGCAGGAAAAGCTCCTTTGAGGCTCATAGAGAGGGGGAGGTGAAACTAAAATCCAGAAATGTGGAGCAAAGCTGGGCTTTAAACCAGGCCTAAACTGCAGGAAAAGCCCCTGTGAGGCTCACAGTGAGGGGAAGGTGAAACCAACCCTCAGGACTTTGCAGCCAGCCCCAGGCCGTGCCCCTGCCCTGCCCAGGCTCCGGGCAGTCACTCACTGGAAATCTGAGAACATTTCCAGCAGATCCTCGGTTTGCAGGGACGAGGGGAAGTCGTAGATCTCGGTGACGTGGCCCAGGTCCCCCTCGCTGACCTGGGCCTCCCCATGGCCAGGATAATCCACAGTGATCCTCTCGATGCTGATGTCCTTCACTGACAAATTCCCAACGATCTGGGAAGATGCAAAGCGAGGATTAGAAAATAAAACAATGAGCCAGGCTGGAGTTTCAGCCCCTTGAAGCAGGAGCTGCTTTGAGTCAGGTCTCACAAGCTCTTGGGGGTTTATTTCACAGCCAGGATAGCTCAGCTACCTTGGCATCAAATCAGCAGCATGGCTTCTGTGGCAGCGTTGGAAACAAAAAGGGTTTAGTAAAGGGCAAAATAACAAAACTCTTTACAGAGATAAACTGATTTAGGTGCAAGAGGTCCTTGCCCCTGGTAAACACCTCAAATCAATTCCTTTCTTTGTTCTCTTCTTTTTCTAGTAAACTGTCTAGGCAGGACTTTTTGGCTCCTGTCCACTTGGCTATCCTTAAATTGAAGGTTCAGTCCCCCAAGCCTATGAGATGCCTCTTTCACCTAATCCAGGAGAGAAACTTCAGGGCTTCTTTCCTTTTTAAGGAGACAAAAGCTAGTTTTGTCACAAAAAATAAAAGGGAAAAACAAAGGAAAAACAAAAAGGAAAAGCAAAAAGGAAAAACAAAAAGGAAAAACAAAAGGAAAAGCACATTCCCACACCCCCTCAGAGCCCAATCCTCACCTCAGCCACCCCAGCCCCACCTGCACCACCCAGGACACGGAATCCCCTCCCAGGGAGCGCCTCCTTCCCCTCTTTTCCCAGATTTTGCCCCAAATCACCTCTGCCAGCAGCTCTGCCGTGCAGTCGTCCTCGAGCCTCGGCCCCTCTCTGTCCCCTGCAGCCAAATCCAGGCCCCTCCTCAGCGCCTCGGCCACACCAGAGCCTTCCTTGTCCTCCTCTTCCTCCTTCCTCTGCCCCGGAGCGCTCGGATCCGCACCATGGAGCGGCTCAGGGGCAGCCAGAGCCTCAGCTGGGCCTTCCAGAACCTTCTGCAGGGGCTCCTGCTCCACCTGCCCAGCGCTGGGGCTGGGAACAGCCTGGACTCCCTGGGAATTCCAGGAATGCTGCTCTGCAGAGAGGGGCTGGCCGCTGCTGCTGCTCTGCAGGGTCTGAGACTCTGGCACAGCTGGGGCTGGCATGGCTGGGGCTGGCACAGCTGGGGCTGGCACAGCTGGGGCTGGCATGGCTGGGGCTGGCACACCTGGGGCTGGCACAGCTGGGGCTGGCACGGCTGGGGCTGGCACACCTGGGGCTGGCACGGCTGGGGCTGGCACGGCTGGGGCTGGCACAGGCAGGTCTGGCACAGCCGGGGCTGGCACAGCTGGGGCTGGCACAGCTGGGGCTGGCATGGCTGGGGCTGGCACACCTGGGGCTGGCACAGCTGGGGCTGGCACGGCTGGGGCTGGCACACCTGGGGCTGGCACGGCTGGGGCTGGCACGGCTGGGGCTGGCACGGCTGGGGCTGGCACAGGCAGGTCTGTCCTGCTGCCACCGTGGTTCTCCAAAGGGACAGAGCTGCCCCCGCACTCCGACCCTCTGGAATCCCGGCTGGATTCCTTCTCCTGCAGTGGGGCCTGGAACTCGCTGCCCTCTGCAGCGATGGTGCTGCCATGGCTTGGTTCTTCCTGCCCTGCCTGGGGTGGGTGTTCCTTGTGCTCTGCAGAGATGGTGCTGCCATGGCTTGGTTCTTCCTGCCCTGCCTCGGGTGGGTGTTTGTGGTGCTCTGCAGTGATGGTGCTGCCATGGCTTGGCTCTTCCTGCCCTGCCTCGGGTGGGTGTTTGTGGTGCTCTGCAGCGATGGTGCTGCCATGGCTTGGCTCTTCCTGCCCTGCCTGGGGCGGGTGTTTGTGGTGTGCAGAACGAGGGGAATGGGAACAGTCCTCATCCCGGCCTTCCCGCTCGCAGGAATCGCCGCCATTCCCTAAGGACGGCACCTCCTCGTCACACAGGGGATGCTCGGCGCTGCCTTTCCCAGGGACATCCTCAGGCTCCTGCTGCCTCCTAGGGCTGCCTCCAGCCCTGCCCAGCTCCTGCTGCTCCCGGCTGGAATTCCTGGTGCCCTTTTCCCCTCCTGGAGCCGCGTCCCCGTCCCCGGGGCTCTCCCGCTCTCTCCAATTCTCCTTTTTCCGGCCCCCTCTGGGCACGAACGGGGCTTTCTCTGGCTTCCTCCTGGGCGGCCGGGAGATCCTGCCCGAGCCCACGCTGGCACGGGCAGTGTCCCCGTGGGTGTCCCCGGGGTGGCGCAGCCGGGCCCCCCGGCCCCCCCGGCCCCAGGGCTGCACGGGGCGCTGCACACGGGACGGGTTGGGCCCGGCCTTTTGCTCACTCGAGGTCTCGTTGGGAAGCCTGGGAAGGAGGGGATGGTGAGAGGGGAGCAGGGGAAACCCAGAGGAAAAGGAGGAGAAGCATCAAAAAGGGAAAGGCCAAAAGAAAAAATTCCCAAAGGGAAAAATCCCGCTGTTCCTTGGGGTCTGGGGGGTGCCACTGATAATGGAGAACCTGAATGGGACACAGGGACTTTGTGCTGGAGCCCCTCTGGAGCCAGGCTGAGAGAGCTGGAAACACTCCAGGGAGAGCTCAGAGCCCCTTGCAGAGCCTGAAGGGGCTCCAGGAGAGCTGGAGAGGGACTGGGGACAAAGGAGAAGCATCAAATTCCCAAAGGGAAAATCCCACTGTTCCTTAGGGTCCAGGAGGTGCAATTGGTAATGGAGAACCTGAACGGGACACAGGGACTTTGTGCTGGAGCCTCTCTGGAACCAGGCTGAGAGAGCTGGAAAGCTCCAGGGAGAGCTCAGAGCCCATTCCAGAGCCTGAAGGGGCTCCAGGAGAGCTGGAGAGGGACTGGGGACAAGGATGGAGGGACAGGACACAGGGAATGGCTCCCAGTGCCAGAGGGCAGGGATGGATGGGATACTGGGAGGGTTGAGGGGCTGGGATGGAATTCCCAGAGCAGCTGTGGCTGCCCCTGGATCCCTGACAATGCCCAGGGCCAGGCTGGGACAGTGGGGGTGTCCCCAGAGGGTGACAAGGGTGGCACTGGGGTGAGTTTCGGGGTGTCCCCAGAGGGTGACAAGGGTGGCACTGGGATGAGTTTCGGGTCCCTCCCAAACCATTGCAGGGTTTTGATGGCTGTCAGCGCTGACCCAGCGGAGCACAGCTCACCTGACAGCTGAGTGACAAATGACTGTCCTCCTCCTCCAGCCCTCTCCCACCGAGAAGCTGCTGAGCAGTTCCATGTTCTCCACGGTCCTGTGGATCAGGTACCTGAGGCGGCTGGACAGGGGTGGGAACAGGAGCACTCTGCAAGGAGAGAGGGCTCAGGGCATCAGAAACGTGCAGGGAGGGATGGGAGTGATGGGAAAATGTAATAACCTCATCCCCTGAGTCATTCCCAGCACGGGATTTAAAGCAGAAAAAAGGCAAGCAGGACTTGGTGGTGTTAAAAGCATAAGTGGCTTCTCAGATTTGCAGCCAGGCACATTTTACACATAAAATGGAGTGTGGGGAATGCCTGACCCCAAGGCCTTGGCCTGGACTCTCCTTCCTGCTGTATCCATATGGGAAAGGCTGGGAAGCACCAGCAGAAAGCTGCTGCTGATCCCCCCCTCCCAGGCTGAGTCTAATTTCATTTCTCTCTCCACAATATCTTATTCTGTAACATTTCTAAATCAATATTTATCCCAAAAATTATATACAAATATGTACTATATAAACCTTCTTTATATACAAATATATTGTATATAATATATATATATATTTTATATATAATATAATATATATCATATATAATATATATAATATATCATATATCATATATCATAATCATATATAATAAATATATGTATAATATATATATATACACAAATATACTATAAATAAATCTTCTATCAAACTTTACAAATTATAAATTTATAAATATATAAACCTTCTATCAAACTTTACAATTCCTCTACAAATCCATTTCCCACCTGGAAACCAGGAATAAACCAAGAATGGATAAATAAACTCCAGTTCAATGTCACTGCTGTCACCTGGTTTGTCCCTGAGTCTTTGACAATGGCACAGGGAATTTCTTTGCCAAACATTTTATTAAAGAAAAAGCACTGAAACAAATATTTAAGGTCAGGAGAAGCTGGCAGGGAGCTGAGCTCAGCACTGCCAGCCCTGCTCCTGTCCAGCACCCCGGGCTCGGCCACCCCAAAGGCTCCAAAGGTCACTGGGCTGGGAACAGCTCCAGGTGCACCCAGGACGAGCAGTGGCTGCTCCAAAGCCACCAATGGCCACAAAACCCTGCCTGAAGGTGTGACCAGGGGAGGGGACCCCACAGCCAGAGCCCAAATGCTGCTGCTTTCACCCCAGAAAACGACACCAAGCACGAGCCCAAGGTGCCCAGGTGTCCCTGGCGCTGCCCAGGTGTCCCTGGTGCTGCCCAGGTGTCCCTGGTGCTGCCATGGCCCGGGGACAGCTCAGGGACCCACCGGTGGTGCTGGCCCTGCTCCATGAAGTGCTCGAGCTCCTCCACGATCCTGCTCACGAACTCATCCTCGCTGGGCGACAGGAAAACGCCATCCATGGGGCACAGTGCAGGGACAGCCTGCCGGGGACAGGGACACAATGGAGGGACAGGGACACAATGGAGGGACAGGGGCAGGGGCACATGGAGTGACAGGGACACATCCGGAGGGACAGGGATACACATGGAGAGACAGGGACAGCCTGCCGGGGGACAGGGGCACAATGGAGGGACAGGGACACACATGGAGGGACAGGGACAGCCTGCTGGGGACAGGGACAGCCTGCTGGGGACAGGGACACATGGAGGGACAGAGATACACATGGAGGGACAGGGACACACATGGAGAGACAGGGGCACAATGGAGGGACAGGGACACACATGGAGAGACAGGGGCACAATGGAGGGACAGGGACAGCCTGCCGGGGACAGGGACAGCCTGCTGGGGGACAGAGGCACATGGAGGGACAGGGGCACAATGGAGGGACAGAGACACATCCGGAGGGACAGGGATACACATGGAGGGACAGGAACACACCTGGAGGGAGGGACAGGGACCCGCCTGGAAGGACGGGGACAGCCTGCCAGGGGACAGGAGCACATGGAGGGACAGGGATACACATGGAGAGACAGGGACACGTGGAGGGACAGAGACACAGCTGGAGGGACAGGGACACAGCTGGAGGGACAGAGGCACATGGAGGGACAGGGGCACATGGAAGGACAGGGACACACCTGGAAGGACGGGGATACACATGGAGGGACAGGGATACACATGGAGAGACAGGGACATGCCTGGAAGGACGGGGACAGCCTGCCAGGGGACAGGAGCACATGGAGGGACAGGGACACAGCTGGAGGGACAGGGACACAGCTGGAGGGACAGGGACACGTGGAGGGACAGGGACACAGCTGGAGGGACAGGGACACGTGGAGGGGCCGGGACGGGGCACATGGAGGAAGGGACAGCCGCCAACCCCCGCCCATGGGTGCCCAGCACCCCCTGCAAATCTCACCCGCCCTATGCTGGCTCCGTCTGCACCGCGTTATCGCCAGCCCCGGGCATCCCAAAATCCCCCAGCCCTGGGCACCCCCAGCCTCTCTGCCCTGCGTTATCCCCCTTTCCCGGACGCCCCCATCCCGCTCTCTGCATCCGCCTGCCCTCCCCTTCTCCAGCGCCACGTGCTGCCTCCTGTCCCCACCACCATCATCATCATCATCATCCTCACCATCACCACCCTCACCCCGGACCCCCATCGCCCCCATCCCCGCCCCCCGGCCCCACCGCGCCCCCGTTCCCCACCCCCGGTGTCCCCCCGGCTCCGGCCGCCCCGTCCGGGTCCCCCCGCGCCCTCACCGCCAGGCCCGGCCGAGCAGCGGATGCCGGTGCGGCGCCTGCGCCCGGTTCTGGCTCCTCCCGCCCGGTTCTGGCTCCTCCCGCTCCATCCCGGCTCCTCCCGCTCCATCCCGGCTCCTCCCGCCCGGTTCTGGCTCCTCCCGCCCGGTTCTGGCTCTTCCTACTCTGTCCCGGCTCCTCCCGTTCCATCCCAGCTCCTCCCGACCGATCCGAGCTCGTCCCCCTGGCTCTGGGCTCCTCTCGGCCTGTCCGGCTCTTCCTCCTCATCCCCGGTTCCTCTCTCTCGCTCCCGGTTCTTCTTCCTCTTTATCCCCGGTTCTTCCTCCCGGTCCCGGCTCCATCCCCGGCAGCGCTCCTGGCTCTGCTGTCCCCAAACCCTCCCGGGCCGAGTTCATCCCCCCTGTCCCCGTTCGGCTCCGAGCGCTCCAGAATCGCCCCTGAGGTTGGGGTAGCCGGGGCTGATTTCAGCCTGCCCGGAGCTGCTTTCCCGGGAAACGATCCCGGCCTCGGCATTCCGGGAAAACAATCCCGGCCTCGGCTTTCCCGGGGAGCGATCCCGGCCTCGGCATTCCCGGGAAAACAATCCCGGCCTCAGCATTCCCGGGAAAACAATCCCGGCCTCGGCATTCCCGGGAAAACAATCCCGGCCTCAGCATTCCCGGGGAGCGATCCCGGCCTCAGCATTCCCGGGGAGCAATCCCGGCCTCGGCATTCCGGGAAAACAATCCCGGCCCCAGCATTCCCGGGGAGCGATCCCGGCCTCGGCATTCCCGAGAAACAATCCCGGCCTCGGCATTCCCGAGAAACAATCCCGGCCTCGGCTTTCCCGGGGAGCGATCCCGGCCTCGGCATTCCGGGAAAACAATCCCGGCCTCGGCTTTCTCGGGAAACAATCCCGGAGCAGGTTCCAGTGTGGAAATTAAGCCAGGCAAGACATCACCCCCCAGCAGCCCCATCCCGTTATCATCCCCTGTGCTCACTTCTCCCTTTCTCTGTTAAAGCCATTCTTCCTAAAATTCCTGATTTTTTTCTGCCTGAAAAATCACTTGAAGGCCAGCAGTCATTCCCTGTGTCCCTGCAATTCCAGCTGGGAAAGCAGCACAATTCCACATCACCTGCACGGGGTTCATTCCCACACTCTCCCAGCCCGTCATATTCAAATGTGGCGGGTTTGGATTGGTTTGGATTAGGAGGAACCTCCAATTTTCCCCCTTTATCTGCTGATTTCCACATGGATTTGATGCTTTTCCTTCTTTCCCTCTTTTGCAAATATCACTTTTCTCAGGCCCCTCTGCTCCTCACCCCAAAAGCCCAGAAGCTGTCCCCAGGTCACCCATTGCACATCCAAAGTGACCTGGCTTTTTTGGGATTACAGAGCAGGGTCAGGCACAAATCCCACCCCAATCCCTGCTCTGGGATCAGCCCCAGACTGGAATAATTTCACCCACCCAAGTGTGGAATTTGGGATGGGAGAAGGGAAAAGAGGAGGAGGAGGAGGAGAAGGAGGAAGACACTTCCTGGTGGGATTACAGAGGAAACCTGTGCAGGAAAAAGGGGCAAAAGAAGCTGCATTCTGCAGCCAGGTAAACAGGGGGGGTCTGGCCAAAGGCAGCCCCAGTCCCACCAGTCTGGAGCTGTTCCCATTTCCCAGTCTGCCCACAGGAATGTCTGTAACACACTGGGATTCCTTCCAGAGCCTGGCAGGTTTGGGGTTGGCTCTGTCACCACCTGTCCCTTCTGCTACTGGGTCAGAGCTGCTGCAGGAAAATAACAAGAATTAAACACATTAATTTAATGAAATAATTAAATACAGGTAATAAGAGGACACAAAATGGGTCACTTCACCCTCTTTGTTGTCTTTCCTTTGAAGGTTCACCCTGCTCATCACAGACACACCGAGCTGGTGGAACAGCTTCAGTACCCCCAGCTCCTCAGAGAACAGGCGTGACAGGGATGTCCCAGCTCCCCTCTCTGCTGGAGACCTTCCCACCACTCTTTTCCATTTCCCACCCAGCCTCAGTGGAAGGTGCTGCTGGTGAGAAGGGGAATCCTCCCCAGCCACACTCAGGAAGGGATTCTGAGGGGGGGAGGAGCCCAGAGAAACCCTCCCCAAGGCCACTTTGGGATGGGAGAAGGGAAAAGAGGAGGAGGAAAAGGAGGAAGACGCTTCCTGGGGTGGGATTACACCCTGTGTAGGGATTTTCCCTGTGCAGGGAAAAAGGAGCCACATTCTGAGCCAGGTAAACAAGGGGGGTCTGTGCCAAAGGCAGCCCCAGTCCCACCAGGCCAGTGACCAGCTGGGTTTGGCCCGCTCCTCTCTCAGCTCCTCGGAGAACAGGAATGTCCCAGCTCCCCTCTCTGCTGGAGACCTTCCCACCCCTCTTTCCCCACCCAGGCTCAATGGAAGGCGCTGCTGGCCAGAGGGGGAACCCTCCCCAGGCAGACAGGGGTCCCACACTCAGGAAGGGGGATCTGAGGGGGAGAGGAGCCCAGGGAAACCCTCTCCAAGGCCACCTCGGGGTTCTCCCCCTGCAGCACGGCGTGGGGCAGCAGCTGGGGCGGGCTGAGGCTCTGCAGAGCCCTGTGCCCGGAGGTGTCGGGGTGGAAGGACACCAGCTCGTTGCTGAAGGTCACCGTCTCCACGGCGCCGCCGCGGCAGAGGCAGCCCCAGCCCAGCAGGGAGGCGAAAGCCGCGCGGAACTCGGCGTTGAAGGCGTAGATGATGGGGTTGAGGGCAGAGTTGGCCCAGCCCAGCCAGGTGAAGGTGCTGAGCACGGCCCTGCTGACGCATGGTGACGTTCCCTGGACGCGGAGATCAGTGTCACAGAAGGGCACCAGGCAGTTGAGCACGAAGAAGGGCAGCCAGCAGCACACGAAGACACCCACGATGATGGACAGGGTCTGCAGCACCTTGGTCTCCTTCTTGAGGGAGTTTTTCAGGGAGGTTTCCCGAGGGCGGGCGCTCCGTCCCGCCGGTGTCTCCAGGGAGGAGATGCCACGGAGCTGGCGCCGGGCCAGGTGGAAGAGGCGCCCGTAGGTGCCCAGCATGATGGCCACGGGGATGTAGAAGCTGATGAGGGACGAGGAGATGGCGTAGGTCCTGCTGAGGCTGGGATCGCAGCCCCCCTCCTCCGCAGAGCCGTTAAACCCCAGCAGCTCCCGGTCCTTGTGCCACTGCAGCTGCACGGGGATGAAGGAGATGAGGAGGGACAGCAGCCAAGCCCCCGCGATGGTGACGAAGGCCAGGCGCTGCGTCACCCTCCTCTGGTGGCGGAAGGGCTCGGCGATGGCCCAGTAGCGCTCGACGCTGATGAGGCACAGGTGGAGGATGGAGGCCGTGCAGCACATGATGTCAAAGGCCACCCAGAGGTCACAGAAAGCCCCAAAGGGCCAGAAGCCCAGCACGTCGCTGGCAGCTCTCCAGGGCATCACCAGCACGGCCACCAGCAGGTCAGACACGGCCAAGGAGACCACGAAGAGGTTGGTGACCTTGGAGCGCAGGTGTGGGAACCTGAGCACAGCCAGGCACACCAGGGCGTTCCCCAGCAGCGTGGTGAGGATGAGGAGGGACAGGCAGGCGGCTGCCACCACCCGCAGGGACAGCGGGGAGTGGCTTTGAGCTGCCCACCCGGTGGCACTGAGCCCGTCCTGCCCAGCTCCTCCTGCCGAGGGGGAAAACCCATCCATGGCTGCCCCCTTGTCC